TTGCAGCCATTGCTGAGAAGCTCAAAATATTCTAGCACTATAATGCTGCAAATCTAAATGGAGCAAAGTGCAAATTCCATCCATCCATCCAGGATTCTCTCAAATGTAAAAATACCAGAATGTTCAAGGATCAATGCCAATCAGACATCAAGATAAACAAGTGGGGTATCTTCATAGAAAAAACCAGGGTTGAAAAAGTTGAAAATTTTCAACTTTTTCAACTCCCTTTTCCTTTACTTTACATTTAAAATGTAGTTGAAAAAGTTGAAAATTTTCAACTTTTTCAACCATGTTTTTTCTCCAGTCCACATTCATCACATTCTAGCACTGGCATTGTACACAGACTTGGTGGATGCCAGTCACTGCGCAAACCCTATCAAATCCTCAAGATCATGTTGACATGACATGCTATGGCAATTCCCTAGGACTGTTTGGGACCTGTTTCAAACATTTTGCAACTGCCAATATTTCATGAATATAAAAAATGTGATCCAGTCCAATGAAAAAATGAGTGTACATTTCCCTTGATTGAGTGAAAACAATGGATCAAAACAATGGACCAACCAAGGACCAACAAGGGACCAAAGTTTTTTTCCAAAAGGTTTGCATGAAATGGTGCCCATTGAGATCATTCAAATATTGCGCATTTGAAGTTCGAGTGCTTTTTTCAAAAACAAAACTAGCATCCCTCCATCCATTCCCTCCTTCCCTCCCTTCCCTCCCTTCCCCTTCCCTCCATCCCTCCCTCATTCCATCCATCCCTCCCTCCCTCAACATACAAGTATTTGGCATGACACCCTGCCAGCATGCAATGTGTTTTTCCATATTGCCAACTGCACATGCCAATTACTCCTGCTGATGCTGCCTATGCATAGCTGCAGCATACGCACGATAGCCTGCCTCATTCCTTGTAGGAGGAGGAGGCAACATGGGAGCGGCAGGCTGGTCGGCCACATCATAAACTTCTGCCACTGTCACCGTCGAATTGACCAAAAACCACCCCACAGGCTTTGGGGGGTGGTCAGTGGTCTTTGGCATAGCTTTGGCTGCAGGTGCTTTCACAACCGGCTTGGGGACAGGCATGGCTTTGAAGCCTCCGAATTTCACGTTTGGTGGCCTTGCAGGTGGTACCGCTGGCGGTTTCGGTGGAGGAGGCACAGGAGGAGGTACAGGTGGTACCTGGCAGGTATCATGGTGGTTTTTTCCCTCCCTCCCTCACCATGCTGTACAATGGTCTTGCATAAATGTGCTTCTATGAATTAATTAGTCTTTGGCACCCCACCCTCCCTCCCTCAGGGTGCCAAGTGCAAGCTCTAAAACAACACATGAAATGCAGACAGGTTGCCATGTTGGAAGGTCCAGAGCCATCCCAAACACCTCCAGGAGCAAATGTAGCTGCATCCCAGTCCTCGGGTGGCAGCTTGGGATATTGGCATTACAAGTTGCCGTCCCTTCCTCCCTCCCTCCTTCCTTCGGGCTCCCTATAGGTTGTCTTGTTTTGCATTATTTTTCAGTGACCACATCCTCCCCCCATGATTTTCAGTTCAGGGTCGATCCAGTCTTGCTTGCTCCACTTCTTCTTGCCCTTCTTCTTGTCCTTGGCCAGCTCCTCCTTCTTGAAGTCAGCCTGAGACAACAGGGAAAAACATGTTTCAGCTCCCTCCCAGTCCGTCTCTTGCAGTGCCTCCCTCCCAGTCCCAGTCCCTCCCTCCCAGTCCCTTTTTTCCAGTCCCTCCCTCCCAGTCCCGTACTCTCGGTCCCTCCCTCCCAGCCAAGAAACGCACTTTGTGCTCATACAGCCGACCCGCCAGTAGTACCTCTTAGAGCACAACCTGCAAGGACGCCACCAGGTCCGGTTATCCTCGGTCCACTGGTCAGGACACCATGGGCGAGGAGCAGCAGGCGCAGCGTCCGGGGCAGCTTTGGCAGCCAAAGCCTCCTGGCATGCCTCTGTCACAGTGGCATGTATGGCAGCCAAGCTTGGGTTTGCAGGCACAAAGCCATCAGGCCCACCCATGCTCTCTTGCAACTGATCCAAAACAATGGATGCAGCTTTGGCTTCAGGCGACATTTCTTCTTCCCCCTCTACAGGGGGCACAGCTTTGGCCTGGGGCTCATTGGCCTTGGCCTTGGCTTTGGCCTTGCACTTTGCTTTTGCAGGGGCACTGGCAGGCCTCTTCAGGGAAGGCATGGTGGCACCGAGACATGATGGCACCGAGACAGCTCAGGATCGCTCACATGAGCCATGCATCAAGCAACAGGTTTCCAACATGAGCCATGCATCAAGCAAACTGCGACCAAGCATGTGTCAAGCGCCCAGTCCCCCTTAGACAATCCCTTTTACAGCTACAAATTATTCCAACATCATCCCTTCTAAAAAACACCATTGGGGTCATGTTACAACAATTTAGCTCCTCCCTCCCTCCTGCACATGGTTGGTTTGCAACAATTTTAAAACAGAACACTTTCAAGCCACCATCCTTCCCACCAAGGTCGCCTCCCTCCCTCCCTCATAAACATTGTGGTGGTTTGTCGTTTGTTCCTTTTGTACGTAAGAATGTGTCAGTTGAAATTGCATGTGTTCACACAGCCTGGCCTGTTTGCAACAACACACACTGCAGATGCGTTCACATATACATTCGAACATGCGCATTCCCCAAAAAACAAGTGCAGGTTTTGGACCACAGTGTACCGTGTTCTACGCAGATCGTGCCCACTCCTTCACAGCTTGGACATCGTCTCCAGCGGTGAGCTTAGCCACAGCATCCTTGACAATGCCAAAAACTTGCTGTGGAGTCCTTTCACCAAAGGGGACACAAAAGAGCTGGGCTTTGGTGCCAGTCTTTGCACGAATGGCGTACGAATTGCTGTTCTTATAGTGCATGACAGCAAATAAATGATTCGAGGCATCACTACACTTTGGAAGGCCAACAGGGGCAGCTGCCGGCTTCTTCATGGCTTTCAAACTCCCAGAGTCAGCAGGTGCTTTGCTGGCAGGCCTTTTCAAGGCCATAGCAGCTGCCTTTGCAGCTGCCTTTGCAGCTTTTTTGACCTTGGGATCCATGGCCAACACCATGGAATTGGGAATCTCACTTTCGTGTTCTTCCTCGCTAGAAAAACAGCCCAAGGCAAAGCTTCCCGGGCCCACCTTCATGGTGGCAGTTGTTTGGGAGCCGTCAGGAAAGAGTCGAACGAGGGCCACGGCGTGCGAACAAGTGTACTGCTTGTAGTTGACATCTGGGGGTGCTGCCGACGCCTGGCTTGCGAGAATTTCTTGGGAGCTGCAAACCTCAATGGGGACCAACTGGGAACTGCTGGATGCTGCCAACTCTGGGACAGTGTCCACGCCAAACTTCTCGTAGAGCTTGGAGACTTGCTCTGGAGACAAGTTTTGGAGGTCCTCCTTGCCTTGCTCAGACGCGTTTGGCACCTCAGCCAAGCCCTCCTTGCTCAAAAGCTTGATTATCCTGGCAACTGCAGGGGCAAGCTTCTTGCCTGAGGTGGCCTGCTTCTTCTTCAGGTAGATGTGCTCCAAACCTGCTTGAAGTCTTTGAGCAAAAGTCTTGACTTCGCCATGACTCAAGGCCCAAGCTTCTTTGATGCAAGTTTGCAGGAACTTGCCAGTCTTGCGCCTCTGAATGCGGCATATGTCCATGAGGAGATCTTCGAGCCTTGCGCACAGAATGTCTGGGTCCGGCTGCAAGTAGTCTGCAGATTTTGGTCCTCCTGGCATGTGCTTCCTGAAAATCGCGACGAGAGTTCGAGCATCGGGTTCTAATCCCGCCATGGCGGCAGGGCACTATATACAAACTGCTGAGCCATGCGAGACAAGAAGAGTGATGCTCATGTGTTCCCCTCCCTCCCTCATGTGTTCCCCTCCCTCCCTCATGGTGTAAACAAAAATAGACCCTTATTTGACTTTGCAATCTAGGGCTTACACCCTTATTTAAAAAGGGTCGAATTTTCAAGGGTCTATTGGTCCCTCTGGGGACTCACCGGACAAACTTGCCCGGTGGTAGAAATGAGTACCATGTCTGACACTCCGACTGCGTCGGGGATAGGGAGCCAGCAAGGCTTTGAGTGGGGCCCGACAAGTCGAACTATGCAGCCCCGTGTCGTTCATTGCATTCACGACTCGACGGGATATGTAACTGAGTTCGGAAATGTAGGACACGTCAGACATGTCGCGCAGAAATATCAATCTTGTCATACCAGATCGCGATCAGGCATCAAACACCTCAGGCATGTCAAGCAGCTCAGACATCTCAGACGTCTCTAGCTTGTCTGACATAGGAAGTGTTGATTTGCGTCTGCCGTGTGCATGTCTAGAATGTCTGACGTGTTTGACCTCTCAGCAAGTCTTAAATCATCACAATGCCATGATTCTGTAAAGCAAGCTCACCCATAATAAAAGGTTGCTCACTTGGGTATGTTGCTTCTATGAACACGACTTTTTGCACCTATAAGTACCCTGCAACCACATTCTATTTAGTTGGACCCTTTTGGCAGCGCACGCAGGTCTTGGCCGCAGAGGGCGACCTTCCGTGATTGCAAAACGTGGGTTGCGGAGCTGCGGTGGTTCTGCTGATTTTAGGGTGATCTTACCTGGCAAGAGGCAAAACGAGCTCACCATGAAGGCCCTTTACCTCGGAATCCCTTGTTTCATACTGGAATGAGCGTAACATGTGCAGATGGCCACGATGCCATGAGCAGCTACTTTGCATGTTTGCCACATGGTCCTTGGTCTCAGGTCGGCTGCCCCGTCTGCCAAAGAACCTGGGACCTGAAAGAGGTGACTTGAGAGAAATTCAATTCAACTTCCGTCTCTTATTTTTCAGCGTAGATGCACAGTAGATACCCTTATACGTGGTACCTTCCTGGGGTGCTTGAATATGTTCATGAACCCGAACTCAATTGATGCCAAAAGTGGATGGAGCAGGCTTCTTTTACATTCATCCTATTTTGGCACCCAGTCAGTGGGCTGTGGCTATTGCGCCGCCGCTTTGGATTTCGAGTCTACGGAAAACGGCGATGGCGGTTAGCCTGGCATGGTGGCACCTCGGATGAGTTTTCGCAGCTCGATCGTCTCCCTAAATTGAGCAGGTGTCCAAGGGGGTGTGCTTTTTGAGGGTATCCTTTTCAGGACTGGTTCCAGGGGACACCACTGGACTGCTATTGGGTTGCAGGGGGGTCAACAGCAACCAAGCCAAAGGCCGGCTATTTCGATGCCCGAGTCGAGTCTATTGTGTCTCGCAAGTTGGGACATGCCCAATGCTCCACAAATTTTGGGTTTGCCACAAACTTGGGGTCATGCTGCCTTGCAAAGTGCGGAAACGCCAGTGCAACTCTGATGGTATGGCTTATTCCATTTCGCTACAACGACTTCTAGCCCTATGGTCAGTTGCTGATGCTACTTAGATTGGCCCTGGTTAAGCCACATTTTGTGAACACACAACCGTCGTTTTCACTGAGGGCTTCTCAAAGAACGAGTTCTTTGGTTTATTCAGACAAGCTTGTTCATTCCTTCCAGAGTGCCCCAGCAGTGCCGCATGTTCCTAGGCCATGTGCATGAGCAAAGCTGCGCACCGGCCCCGGGAAGTTACTCATTGCTACTCGAGCACCTGATTCCGGAAGGAAGACAAAAGCCGTTCCACGGCATGAAGTGGGGATTGCCACTAATCAGTACCTCGTGAACATAACAGCCCTGTTCATTCCAGAGCGCCACCTAGGTCGATGCGTCCGTGCTTGGCATTTGGGCAAGTGACAGGTTGGCTGAAGAATTTATTGGCTGCTTGCTAACTGTACGGGAGTAGCGGATGGGTTTGGGACCCTGAGCCTTGAGGTTTCAGGGTCCGTCTATTCTGCTCTTCATTTGGCAGGGTAATGTTTGCTCCGTTCCCCCTCAAAATAAATGAGGCCCCCTCCCTGAGCGAACATTTGCCCAAGAGCAGAATAATATTTGTGCAGCGGGTACGGACGGTACATGACGGCACATTAGGGCCTCGTCGGGCCCACACGTCATTCAGTTCGCGGGAAATTCGCCGGTCTTAGACTTGACTACTGGCTAACTCTTGTTTAGTTTTTTGGAGATTTGGGGTTTGGGCAAACTAGTATATTTATATTTAGTGGGGTGCATGTATTTATGGGGTTGTATTGCACCGAGTTTGCCAATCAACCAAGTCAGGAAATGCGGGCATTTGTGGCTTGCGTCCAGTAGCAACTGTTACAAACTTGGTGTTTATGGACGGTGTGCTGGGTACACTCTCCGGTGAAAGTCGGTGCGTTTGCGTCCAACTTCGTGTGCTATGCAGGGTGCTGATTGAGGAAGTCAGTGCGGCTTGCGTCCTGGTGGGGGTTTACATATGTATGGTTACCGCTGAACTCGAATCCCATGCGGGCAAGGTTTTGAGTGAGCAGGCTTCTCGTGGCCATAGCATTGGGATTTGAGCGAACTTTGCAAGCAGACTGGAGGCAGTGTTTTTGGAGAGAGTGCTGGTTTTGATCCTGGCGTTATGCCCAACTCTAGAAATCCCGTGCCCAATGAGCTTGCGGTCTTTGGATGGGCAGTGCTCAGGTGGGTGTTGAAATCCACGCGGGCGAGGTTTCAGCACCGATATGACTTCCTTTTTCCGCGCTGTGCCATTGGGAGACGTGGCTTTGATTTACACCCTCCGCCAAGTGCCACCCAAGCCCCCCACCCCACGCAAAGCCAAGGGTCTGGTGTGACATGGGGGGGAGCGGTATGTTGAGGGGCGTTAAGTAAGGCTGACGTACCTGCCCTCCGCAGTTAATTAAGTGTTCTCCTCCCACATCTCGCATTTTGGCCGCATAAAGAGCCTTGGTCCACACGGAAGTCTGAAGAAGGTGCCCTTTCACAGAGAGGTTAGCAAAGTGCCAGCAACATTGGCACGGGCGATGGCAGCTGCACGACGATCCTTGACGCGGCGCAGTACCTCTGGCCAAGAGAAGGTTAAATCAACGAATATACACATGAGAGTTGGGATCCTTGTGTTGTTCAGCAGTGTGCCAGCCTGCGGGCCCGCCATGCTGGCCAGGGCCAGTCTGTGGGCCTCGTTCGTACCTCGTTGGGACCTCGTTCGTACCTCGTTCAGACCTAGTTAAATTGGCTGGCCTAGAACACCTTTTTCGAAATGCTTCGCGTCAGGCGCAGCACTTTCGCAAGGTCAGGTGTAGATTTCGGGACAGGGCAGTACTTCCAGCAGGCCAGGCGCAGGAAAGGAAAGAGACAGCGCAAGCAAAAGAGAAAAAGTCCCGTTGGGGTTTGTTGCTGGAGGTGCTCCCACGTCATACGTTTCCCAGCGCATCCTATGGCGTCCCATTAAGATTTAGACCTTTTAAAGCGAACATGTTGACATATTGCGTCCCAGTGGGGTTTACACATAGACGTCCAAATAAGTGCTCAACAACGGACTTTGCGTCCCAGCGGGATTTGTTAAGTTTCGCATTGACTTCTTTGACTTCGTGAATGTGCTGCGTCCCACGCAGATTTCCTTTGTAAGCTGTCATGCGCTGACTTCCACTCGGTGGTGTGTACGTGCGCCGATTCTGGATGCACTGCCAAGCTGAACCCGGTTTGCTTCTCCGTTCGTGATTTTCCTGTGGAAGTTGGATTTGCCGCAGGGTGTCGAAGTCTGGTCCTTCGTGGCTGCCTCTTTAGTTCTTTTGAAGATCCAGCGGCCAAAGATGGGAGGTTTGTAGGAACAACTTCTTGGTGTTGCCACGAAAGTTCGACACCTCACTTTCTTAATTACACTCCCTCTCACGTGTTTGTTTCACGCTCCTGTGTCAACTGGGACTGGAACTGTTGCACCCCAGAACAGCTTCCTGGGAGCATGGATGTAAACCTCCAGAGCAGCTGCCCAAGTGTCTAGAAACCATTCTATTGCAAAAAGAGCAAGACCCTGTTTGATCAGGAGTTGTTTTCGTTGGGTTGGGTGGTGTGGTTTTCTGTGGAGGAATTCAGCGCGACTCTGACGACAATTTCTCCATGCTCCTCCCACAAGCCTGTTTTTGCGATCTTTTCAAAGCGGGGAGTGGCCTTACCCATGATGAAACTTCCTTTCAAGGGGATCTCTGCTTTGGGGTGATGAAGAATTACTATCAGAAATTATGTTAATGTTGTCATGTGTTTGTTGGTTTCCATTGTTATTATATTTGTGTTTTTGTGGTTGTCATCCTTATTCGTATTATTATTGGACCACCCTCATGCATTACAAGGTAGACCAACTATGAAGCAGAACATAGTTTTTTTGGTGTATCCTGGGGCTCTGGCTAAGACTTGGCGCAATTGAGGCGTCCACTTGAGCTGGGATGGCCAGCAAGGCGCGGGGGTCAAAGGGGCGCATATGGTCACCCGAAACCGATTCTTACAGCATCTCACTTGCTCAAGGCCGACCTTTTAACCTTTTGGTGTCCGCATTTGGTCCATTTTTTGTAGAGAGACCATATGGTAAACCTTGTATTTCTGAGTCCTTTGGGCAAGTGAGGTATATGTTGGCCACACAAGTTTAGCAGTTCGCGTGAGGCAATATCCTTCAGAGCCAGGCGAGTAGAGCCAAACATCAAACGGGTTTATTGCCCTGTGCATGATGCAAACCCATGCAACGGATTGTTGCTTTGATGCCCCGCGACTGATCTTCGCAAGTGCGGTCCGTTTGCTTGTGTCAATACTTGGGTCACCCCAAACAGGACCCCTGATGATGAAGCAAAGAAATTGCAGCTCTCAAGGAAGGATATGGGCTCCCTTTTGCAGGAACCACTGCAAGTGGTACTGCATTCGCAGGTTCCAACGAAATTGTGACCGTCACTATGAATCCAACACAGGCACTTTTGTCTCCACCAGGAGTTGGCAGATTCCTCCTTTGAGAAACCTTGCCATTGTTCTGGTCGCACTTGTATAAAGGGGGTATAAGAGGTTTGAGCTTGTTGCGGGCACGCTTTTGACAACTCCCTCTCACTTCTACAAGGGTTGTGGGCTATGAATAATTTCAAATTCACCGTTTCGTTTTACCTTTGCCCGGCTGTGTAGGGTTGCGCCCACTTTGTGGCTCGCCAGTTAGGAATGAAGGTAAATTGGTTGATCTGCCATTGTGTTCTTTTTTTCGACATCAAGCCAAACTTTCCCGTTTTGGGGCACTTGTCTGAAAAGAAGCATCCCTGAAAAGATTGGGGGAACATTAGAAAACTTGTATTTCCAGTCTCCATGCTAAATTATGTTTCTCCGCTCCGAAAGACTGGTCCTTTTGCACTGAGCTGCAGTGGGTGGGAGGGTAGGTATTCTTGCCAGAATGGGTTGCTCAGGGTATATCCTTAGTCCTTAGTCCTCAAGCGAGATGTCAGTGGTTTTCCTTGTTGTAGTGGCGTCCCACTGCAGATGATTGGTTAGGCTTTGAACAACCCATTTTTAGATTGTCAGAAGCCTGAAGGAGAGAAGCATCCTTGTTCCCCAGCTTGTTTCTGACTTTTCAACAGAAGTGCAAGCTGCCCTTTGTGTCTTCCAATTAAAACTTGCCCATTTCCATCAGCAATTATTTATTCTCTTGGTTACCCGCTCCCTCCAACGACTCATTTTTCCCTCGCCCAAACCCCTGTGTGCTGGCCCAGAAGTAACACAATTTGAGATGCCATAGTTCGTAAATGAAGCCAGAGCTGAAATGCCGCGTATTCTTCAAGCAGCTGCACCCAGCCCCCCGCCAGGTTTTAGGCCCCAGCGAGCGCGTGAGCGGCAACACTTCACCATCGGGAAGCGCCAGCAGCCGGGGCCCCAAGGCGAGGCCCAAGGCCCCAAGGTGCTGAGCTGAAGGGCCGGATTCTCCCCTGCAACACAAAGGCCAACCACACAATTCCCAAGAGCTAATCTTCTGACCCAGCTCATCAATTTTAATAATAATCCCTTGAGAGTTGCGAACTCCTTCGATTGCCAGAGTTGACTTACCCAATTTCAGGGGAAGGCGGGCGAAAGCCGATGATGAATGCCCTTTACTTGAGAGTTCCTTGTTCTTCTCATGGTGAATCATGGTAATCAGTTTGCCAGACTGCCCTTTGATTAGTTGGGTTGTAATTATCCCCCTTTTGAAGAAAACCCAAGCCGGGGTTAGGCGTGCTTGCAAAATTGCAGATTGAGACGGAATCCCAAAACACAAGAGGAGGAGTTGTGGCAATCGCCTCCTTGCTGTTTTTTGCGGAAGCGCGTTGACTGCCCTTTGTCAGTGGCGCAAGAGAGGGCCGTTTGATTCCCAAGCCAAGATGCCCCCTTGGGCAAGAAGTTGGCTCTTTCATTGGGGAGGTAGCTCGAAGGAGGCGGTCTGAGCGAAAAAAGGACAGGAGTCAAGCCGCACTCAGGCCGAGTTTCCTCGCCCAAATCCGCCAAGGCGGGTGCCTTGAAGTGGCATTTGATCAATCCCCCTACCACGGTTCACCCCCCCCAAGTTGTTTGGTATATATTACCCTCTAAGTTCCTTTTGTTTCGGGGTTCCTCACAAAAACTGATAAGCCCGGGGTTTCTTTCTCTACCAGGGTCGCTGGGCAACTGTGTCCCGGGTTGCCTTCCTTTAAACTGAATGAGCACACACAGATGTCCATTTTCCCGTTTTGAGAATCAGCTTGCTGGAATCACCGCATATTTGAGAAGTAATGGTATCAACTTGCAGCTTTGTCCACAGGTGGTACATGGTAAGCTCATCGGAGCAAACGGCCGAGCCCAGCAGATGCCAGCCGCAGGCATCTGCCAAGCTGAGCTCTGAAGGAGTCAGCCGCGACCTCAGTTCCAGCAGGGCGTGCCACTCTGGGCGAAGAAAGCCCAAACCTCACAGGGGGGTTGCTTCCCTTCTGCTGGGATATGACGGTAAACTTCCTGGAGGTATTTTGGGTTTGCGACTTGAATGTACCCAAGACCCGCTGCTACAGCTCCCAGGTCCAAAGGCAAAGGCCTCACCGGAGAAAGCGAAAGCCAAGGCGGCGGGAGATGCAACAAGTCGCCGCAAGTGCCAACCGAGACCCCAAAGAATTGGCTTCATGCTGGTCTCTTGAATTTCGGTGGAAGGGTGTGGGTGGAATGTGGGGGGGGAATGACTTAGACTCTAGACAGTGGGGGGCGAGAGGTTAGGTTAAGACGCTTGAGATCCATAGCGTATAGTGTTTCCAGTTTTTAGAGGTTACTGTCATTGTGCATAGTCTGTCCAGCCACGGCACCTGGAAGTTCCCTGGACGTTTCGTCGGCTCGTTGGCTCTGTGTGTCTCCAATTTGTTGAGTTCCTCGATTTTGACACATACGTGTCTGGTGCAAAGGGAATGTCTTGGAACGCTTCCCGCCGCGTTGTTAAAACTCATTGTTGGCTGGCCGCATTCGCCATTTAGCAATGGTTTGACCCTCCAATCAACAGCCTCGTACACTGGTGTTCAATCTGAACATTGGTGGTGTTTATTGAAGCGACAGGTGCCGTTTGTTGCTCTGGCTGCAACCATAGCTGAATGCAAGAAGAAGGAAGGATCTACTACATGATCCCTCAAAGGGAATATTTTGAGGATTTCTCAACTTACTTTTGCGGGGTGTCCCTCAATCAATCAAGAATGTATTGTTGAGGATGGCACTTTAATACAGCTAGTGATACCCTGCACTGCCGTCCTGTCCGGGTGCTCCTGGGTTTGGGCTTGAGGAGGCTAACTACCAGGGTTGGGCCAACCCGTTGTTCAACATGTTTACATATCCATTGTTGCCAATTAACTGCTCTTGTCTTCCCCTGAAATAGGATCGAGGTCTGGTTGTTCAAACCAATTGTGCCCAACCCTGCTACTTGCCGATCCTGACGTTCGTTCCCCGTGGCGCGCTATTGCATCTAAAGCCCCGAATCGATGGATCCCAGGAGCGGACAAAATTTGGATTACTGGACACATGGGGAAGCAGGACTCCCTCCCAAGCACAACCGAAAGAGAGAGTAGGGGACGGGCCAGGCAGGAATCCCAGGTGCAAAACGTTTATTTCCGGCCTTTCAATGGCAAGTTACTTCTGAAATTCTTACGTTTTTGACATCTTTCAGCGCGAGCTGTTGCCAGGGGGAGATTTGGGAGCATTTTGGGGTTGTCACCCAAACCGCAACTGCTTGTAGCAGCCACCCCGCTCCGGTTTGGACCAAAGAGCTAATGCAAAACGAAAATATGAGTCTGCATTGGCCGAGCAAACACCCCGAAATCTGATATTCTGGCGATTATGGTCAGGGTTAGGGGACTCCACACATAAGTCGCATAAGTGTGGTCTCTTCATTTGAAGCAACAACTTACCATCCTACAGTTCCTCTAGTGAGGACGCCTTACTTGACTCGCCATTTTGTCTCACACAACCAGTGCATTTGTATTCTTCATTTCCTGTGTAAAGCGCGTGCATGCATGAGTCAAGACCTCTTCTGATGAGTGCCTCTTCGGATGAGTGTGCAAACTGAAACTTGTTTCGGTAGCCAACTCAGAGGGTCAGGTGAAGTCTCCCGCTCCATAAAAGACCTGTGTAGAAGTTCTTTGGTTTGTGGGAGTCAGCCGGAGACGAGCCGGAGACACGAGCCAGAGCGCTTGAGGGTGAAGCCAAGAAACCAGCAGAGAAGGCAAAGCCGAAGAGTCCCTCGTTTGCAAAGCTTGGCGACGGGCCTTTAAGAGATGACCGCACCAGGGTGGACAATTGGTCACCGCTTTCTTTTGTTTTGATTGCAACCGTTGGGCCAATGTTCTTCGCTTGTGTGGCTAAAAGTGTTGAGGTTTGGGCGCGGCCGGTGGGTTTTTGGGGATTGGGAGGAGTGTTGGGCGGGGCCTTTGAAAGGCCGTTTCGTCCCGTTTCGTCCCGTACTGGATATGAGCATAAGCAACTCCATTGGCGAGCTCCTTTGGCCACCCAACAAGTCAGGCAGCTGAGGAAGTACTGGCATATGAGGACCAATGCAGAGAATGCGGGAACATCCGGCGCACACATGAAACCGTTGAGGCCGGGAAGTCGGCTGTTGCGAGAAACACGAATCCTCAATCCATGGGCCCCCTCGTCGAATCCCTGGCACCGGCTCTGGGTCCTTGGAGTATGGCTCGGCTTGCGTCGAGACAACGAGTCCTCGCAACCGGTCCGTTTGTGGCTGATGGAATTTGCATGGGCTCTGCTTTTGATGTCCACAATTTGTCCTGTGTGGGTGCAAGATGATGATTTAGGGCGAATTGAGTTGGCGAGAATAGCACACAACTTTAACGACGGCCGTGTAACGGGCAGACCAGAATAATCAACGCCGAAAGAACTGACCAAGACAAGTCGTTATCCATTGATTTCAATCAGGCGAGTGTCTAGCCGCGTTTGCCGAACGCAGAACCAAAGCCCACTCGGAACAGCATTTTCGGGCAAACTATTGTGACCTCAGCCAGCGGCATGGCGACGTCACCCATGATTCGATGAAGGTACATTGCTTTATGTCAGGCCGGTGAATTGTTATTGTGAACTAGAGGGGTTCATGTATAGGCAATCAAACCATGCACAATGGAGCCGTTTTTGTGTCGAGGAAAAGACCGCTTCTGAATAGCGGCACCACAGGTTATGAGCCCAAACCCCTAAAACAGGGGCCCTCGCTCGGCAATGGAACCGACAAGGGCATCAGGAAGTGGAGAACCTCGAGAAAGGCTCGATTCTGCCGATGGAGAAGAACCGGAGGTGGAGAGCCTGGAGATCATAGGGCAGGAAATGGTGCCCTATGCTGGAGGCAGAAGGCCTCCGAGGAGGATGGTGGAGGTGGTGAAGCCGCTTGAGCTCACGGCAACACCACTCAAGCCAGGCCAGGGCGAGGAGGAACTCGAGGAGCCTCCACGCAGGTGGCCAAATGGACCGGAAGGAGAGCCAGAAGCCATGAAGCCTCTGTTCACCCCGGAGCAGCTCAGAGAGTTCAACAAGTGGGACGAGAAAGCACCGTTGCTGAGGGGACCGCGGATGGACCAACCGAGGCCGGCGCACTTGCCCGTGGAGAGTAACCTGGAGGAAGACACTCCGGGTGGTGGCCAACTTCGACCGAGGTACCTACCCATGGAGAATCCGGAGCCGGAGGGCCAAATGATGAAGATGATGGCGGCGTCTCAGGAAACGAGGACGACACCATCGGCGCCGGGAGTGGACCCGGTCTACCTCATGCAGATGATGCAGGAGCTGATGACGCGGAATCAGAGGCTTCAGCATGAGGTGGAAGTGTTGAAGAAACAAGGAAAGGAGACAGACGCTGACTATGGCACGCCGGAGAGCCGGGAAAAGGTGAACGGCATGAGCACGGTCAGGGACAATCAGAACCACGAGCCCTACGGCCCGACCCGCGACCACTCGAATGGCAAGGGCGGAGAAGGCAGACTTGGGGCTGGTGGTGAAAAAGGAAATGCTCGGGATGAGCAGGATGGCGGTGCCTCGGAAAGGGCAAGTGATGTGGCTGGATCCGGAAAGGACGGCCACCAAATGGACGTAATGCTGAAGCTCATGGAGGGCATGCAGATGATGCAGAAGCAGCTCCTGGAGCAGAAGGAGAAGACGGAGACCACCGAGACGGTCAAGGCGGGCTTCGCGGAGTTGCCTCGCCTGGGCGAGTTTAGCCCGGAGAATGGTCCGATAGAACTAGGGGACTGGTTCACCATCATCCATCCCCTGATGTCGGACCTGAGTGACAGCTCGATGGAATGGTGGGACCTACTCTTAAAGGAGGCCCGCGAGTGGTACGAGGAGTACATGAAGGAGATCCCGCTGAACAGGGTCAACATGGTGCCCAAGACGCCTGAGGTGTTGGGGGTACGGAAATGGAGTCGGTTGGAACGGCGGGCAGCTTCGCTCATCATCCAGGCGGTTCCGGAGACGGTGAGAGACGAGATGATCGCCACGAATACGGTGTCGGCATACGGGGCGATCTGTAGGCTTCTGGTAGTGTATCAACCAGGAGGCCTTGGAGAAAAAGGAGTGGTCCTACGGGCGTTGGAGGAGCCGGTGGAAGCTGCTACGATCCCGGAGGCACTCAAGAGTTTGAGAAAGTGGCTGAGGTGGAGGCGGCGGGCGGGCGAGATGAACTTGGCGTTGCCAGACCCTACGGTGATGATGAGGGGCCTCAGCAAGATGATTCGGAAAGTGGTGGAGACGAACCGGGAGCTGACGTTCCGGATTTCCCTTGCCCGGAACACGCTGCGGGTGGACAGCGTGCCGACGCATGGAACGGTGCAGCAGTTCGCGGAGCATGTCTTGGCCGAATTGGAACAGGGCAACCAGGGGTGTGAGAGAAAGGTGACAAAACCCGTGGACGCCAAGATCCGGAAGGTCGAGACAGAGAAGGAGCAGGCGACGGGACGTAGAAACCTAGTTTGCAGGTTCTACATGAAGGACACCGGCTGCAGAAAGGGCCGGAGTTGTGAGTGGCAGCACCCCACGGATGAGACCGCAAGAGGACGCTGCTGGGAGTGTGGATCAGTGGAACACATGAGGAAAGACTGCCCCAGAAAGCAGAAGCCGACATCACCAGAGAAGCCGGCGGCTGTGAGAAGGGTGGCCCAGGAAAACGACGTGGCGACGACACCGGCTTCGGCATCTTCGCCCAAGAAGGAGGAGATCAAGCCGACCCGGGAGAAGGAAACGGTGGTGGAAGATTCGAAGAAAGACGAATCTATGGGGGGGGTGTTGCAGGAAGCAGCAAAGATGCTACGGAGCCTCAACGCCTCGCAGGGAGTCAAAAGGGTGGACGAGAGAAACGACCGCTTGGACGACCTGCAGAAACAGTTGAATGGGTTGAGATCTGGGTCTCTCAAAAGGGCCCAGGTAAACGCTCGAGGGAGGTGGAGTGATGGTGGGCTACTGGACTCGGGAGCTACGCATCCCCTACGTGCCCGGCAAGAAGGTGAAGACATCGAGAATCTGGACGAGATCGATGTTGCCCTGGCCGGGGGAGAGATGAAAGTCATGCGGATCACGGAGGGAGGCATCATCGTCCAGGAGAACGAGGGCGTGGGCTCCATCATTCCGTTGGGTCTGCTGGTGGAGAGGTTGCACTGCGTGGTGACGTGGGATGGGGATGAGTGCCGCGTGGTACATCCAGAGCTGGGAGCGTTGCGGATTCACATGGAGGATGGATGCCCCTATGTGACCCAGCGGACGGCGACGAAGTTGCTCGAGGAGCTTGAGAAAAAGGGGAAGGAGAAAAGGAAGGGCCGGATTAGCGAAGTAAAGCTGGTCCTGGACTGGGAAACGGTCAGAAAGGTGGTGGAACTACATCCTGCGTTTCGTGACCTACCGGAGGAGGTGCGAAGGAAGATTCTGGTGGAGCCGGCGGAAACATTGCGGGCAATCCCATGGAATCGGAGACGGAGAAGGTCCTTGGAGCAAAAAGGCCGGAAAGCCATCCTGCACCTATACGCGGGACCCCGTGAAGGATACACCCTGGAAAGGGCGGTGAAGGAGCTTGGAGGCGACCACATGGACGTCTTGGAGATTGATCTGCAGCGTGGGCCGGAGCACGACATGATGTCGGACGAGCTCTATGCAGCCCTGCTGCGGGGCGCGTTGGATTCGCGTTTCGATGCGGTGGTGGGTGGACCGAATTGCCGGACCAGGAGTGTGCTCCGACATTATCCACTACCTGGCGGTGGTCCACGACCGGTGAGGTCACCGGAAGAGCCGTTTGGGAGGAGCGACCTCACGCCGCATGAGAAAAAGGCGGTCTGGGAGGACGACGTGATGATGTGGCGGATGTTAGCCATCTACCTGGTGGCGGAAGAAGCGCGGAATGCGAACGGAGGTCACAGGTTGGCTTCGTGTTGGAGCAGCCGGCGGATCCCAGGAAGTACATGCCTGGATGCCCGACCTTCTGGGGGACGACCCAGTGGGAAGCATTTGAGGAGATGGAAGGCATGGCCGAGTACGAGTTCTACCAGGGGGACTTCTCAGGAGCGGCACAAAAGCCGACGACATTGGGGACCAACCTCTACATCGACCTGCCTGAGAGAAGGGTGACCGGGCTGGTGTCAAGAGCCCGGATGGAGGAGGTGGACCTCAGAGACTCGAAGAACCTCGCAAGGTGGGCTCCGGGACTCATGAGAGAAGTGGCGAGAGCGATTCTGACGCAGGTCAGGAAGCAGGTGGTGAAGCTGCGGAAGCTGAGTTGGCAGGAGCACATCGCGGCGGGACATTGCCCGATGAGGAGGGACTGCCGAGTTTGTCAGGAGGCGAGTGGTCAAGACCGACCCCATAGGAGGATCAAGCACAAGCACGCCTACTGCCTTTCGTTGGACTTGGCCGGACCGCTGAAGAAGGGAAGAGACATCGACGGGCGGAGCTGCAAGTACATGCTGGTGGGCGCGTACACATGGCCGAAGAATCCGCTGAAGTCTGAGGAGATCCCGGAGAAGGAACGAGATGGAGGTGGAGAAGCTGGCAAGGCGAAGGGTCTGGAGGAGGTCAAGAAACCGGACCAACCCGGGCAACGACCGGAGGACTACTGGACCACCAGCGCCAACGGCAAGTACGTGATCAGGGTACACAAGAGCCACCGGAAGGTAAGGTTCTTCCCTGATGATGCCCCAGGATGTCCGGTGCCTGTGGAGCGACTACGGGGACGGAGGAGGACCATAGCACGGACAACTAAGGATGGTCCGTTGAAGATGTTCATGGACGATTGGAGGAATGCCTAAAAGACGGAAAAGGTCTTTGAGGACGAGAGCCGATGGGCCGGGCGGACGATCTTCCAGCTAGAGGGCCCGGAGGAGGAAGAGCCTCAAGAAGAAGAGAAGGAAGAAGGAGACCCTGATGATCCGGCTGATCCAGAACCCCCAGAAGGGATCTGGGACTTCGAGCTGGAGGAGTTGGTCGGAGAACAGGAAGATGGAGAGATGGAAGAAGGCGACCTGGACGAGTACGAAGAGGATGAGGAGAAGAGAGAGGAGCCGCTGGAGATTGAAGTCCACACGCTGGCAGTGCCTCTCTCGACGAAAGGAGGCAAAGAAGTTTTGGACGCCATACAGACGATGTATCTGGAATTGAAGCGCCAAGGTTTTCCAGTGGCGCGATTGCATAGCGACAGGGGCAAGGAGTTCATGAACCATGCCTTGCGCCGGTGGTGCTTCAACCGGGACATCGCGAAGACGAGTACGGCGGCAGACGATTGGAGATCAAATGGGCGAGCAGAAGTGGCCATCAAGCACTTAAAGTCAAGAATGAGGAGAGTGCTCTTTGCAGCCGAGGTGGATGGACAGTGGTGGCCAGCTGCAGCTCGGTATGTGGTGGAGAAGGAGAAGAGAACAAGGCAGAGAAAAGAGGGCACGATACCCAGATTCTGCCAGGAGGTAATGGTGAAGAAAAGGAAGTGGAAGTCGGAGGAGCTGGGCCCAAGGCACGTCAAGGGGAAGTATTTGGCCCCGGTGGTGGACGTACCGAACGGTCACGCCGTGATGAGAGAGGATGGAACAGTCCAGGTGGCTGCCTATGTGCTGCACCACTGGAAACCTCTCCCGGAGCCAGTGGACGGGTGGCAATTTGTGGAACGGAGAGGTGATGAGGGAGAAGAGCGCGAGCCGGAGGAACCCTATCGTGTCCGGAGGAGGATAAGAGATAAGACCCAAAAGAAGGTGTTGGAAGACGAAGGGGTTCTGGTGAGGTTGCGGGCGCTCAGATCCACAATAGAGGAGGAGGAGAAGGCGGTGACGAACGACGAGCCGGAGGTGATGGACATTGTGGTGAAAGCCCTAGAAGGTTTGAAGAAGGAAGAAGAGGAGTTGAGGAGCAGCACAGAGGTGGAAAAAGACGAGGAGCAGATACTCCAGACCAAGATCGTCAGTGCCAAGGAGGTGGAGATGAACTTGGAGGATTGGAAGGCACCCATGAAGAAGGAGCTGGACACCATCGTGGAAGAAATCACCAGGCTCAACCCGGCATCGGCGAGGGAGCTGCTGGAGAACAACCCACGGGTGCAAGTACTACCCGGGAAGGGGGTGTTCACAATCAAACCAGGAAGGAAGCGTAAGTGCCGACTGGTGGTGTGCGGCAACTACGGGGAGTCTCACGAGGCCATGCCGCTCTTCGCAGGGGGCACGGACGTGGTGGCTTTGCGGTTGGCGTTGAAGGAGGCGGCGGTTCGCGGGTGGCAAGGAGGCACCGTGGACGTGAAAGGAGCCTTCCTGAATGCCCCGCTGCAGGCAGTTGACCAGGAAGGAGAGCTGACGGTGGCCATGCGACCGCCGGCAGTACTGGTCCGGATGGGGTTGATACTAAAAGGGGAGCTGTGGATCGTCAACAAGGCAATGTACGGCCTACGGCAGAGTCCGAGGTGTTGGTCGGACTACCGTGACGACGAGATGAGGAGGTGGAGAATCAGCTATGGTAAGCGTTGGCTGAAGTTGGAGCAGATGAGGAGTGAACCGAATCTGTGGCTGGTGAAAAAGGTAGAGGACGACTTGAATCCGGAGGAGCTGGTCGGCCTGCTACTAGTCTACGTGGACGACTTCATGCTGTTGGGCATGGAAGGAGTGCCTCAAGCCCTCATGGAGAAGATCAAGGGCGCGTGGGAATCATCAGAAGAGAGCTGGTTCGGCAAGGAGCCGGTAAGGTTCTGCGGGGTGAACATCTCTCTGACGGAGCAGGGGATCACCTTGGACCAGATGGACTACATCAAGGAGATCATCGATCGGAACAATGTCACTGGCAAGTCGGTGATCCCCATGAGCAAGGAGTGCAGTGAGCCAGAGGCAGAGATTGGGATCACGGCGGAGGAGATTCAGACGGGTCAGCGTTTGGTGGGTGAGTTGATTTGGCTGGTCACCCGGAGTAGACCTGACCTGGCCTATGTGGTTTCGAGAATGTCGAGTTTCGTGTCCAAGGCTCCACGATGGGTGCAGAGAACCGCGACCCAAACATTGCGGTACCTCAATGCGACCAAGACGGAGGGCATCCTGTTGGATAGGGACACAGATGGAAGAAAGAGTAGAGGAGCGGGCTTGGAGGTCATCACAGATGCGAGCGCCAGGCGGCGAGATTAGCCATGGCTGTGTAATGGTCAAATGGCAGGGATCAATGCTGGCGTGGAGATCTTCGAGGCAGAGCTTCCCTACACTGTCGACGGCCGAGTCCGAGCTGATGGAGATGATAGAGGGAATGGTTCTTGGGGACTCGGTAGACGCGTCGATTCAGGAGATAAAGACGGAGATGGACTATTCGCGGACGTTGATCGGGGACAACCAAGCGGCGGTCTCGCTGTGCACAGGAGATGCTGGATCGTGGCGGACGCGTCATCTTCGTCTGAGAGCGTTCTATGTGAAATGGAGAGTGCAGATGGGGGACTGGCGGATAGTGCATCGGATGGGCGCCAATCTGGTCGCCGACATGGGCACGAAGTGTCTGCCGGGAACTCGCCTACGTGATCTGCGCAAGATGGCAGGTTTGGTGGAGATTGGAGCACCAAAGCCAGAAGAAGGAGGAGCCCTGGAGGTGGACCTGGAAAAAGGAAAGGCAGCGTTGGCCATTTTGGCATGCTGCATGCAAGTCCAGGCAGTGGCGGCGAAAGAGGAGAAAGTCGAGGAAGAAGATCAGGGAGACTACAACGCCTTGGTCGGCTTCGGCATTTTGGTGGCCCTCTTCACGGCTCTGGCAATCAAGGTGACGGCGATGGTGAAAGAGATATGCGAGAAGAGAAGCAGAGGGGAACATGCGTCTGTAAGGGCGATGCGTGGACACAACAAGATGCCGGCGGGTGACGAGGAAGAGGAGTCGGAAGAAGAGGCTTCATCGTCGTCGAGAGCATCGACATCAACTATAAGGAGAAGATCCACTACTACCGGAGGTGGCGGAGGGTCGGAAGCATTGGGTGCTAGATCAAAAGCAGCACCAGAGGCCATGAGGAGGCCGTTGGAGAAAGGAAAGGGTGGAATCGGTTCTGGAAAAGGAAAAGGGAAGCCGATCATCAATGCACCATGGAGGAGGGATTATGCGAGGAGGCACCCCACTCCGCCTTGGAGGAATGATGACCAACCGCCAGCAGATGATCAAGGGCGGCAACTGGGCCAGATCGAGGAAGAAGTGCGCAACGAAAGGTGGGACATTCCGGACGAAGAGCTGTTCTTCAACAAGAAGGACAGGATCGCACACCACACCAGAGAGTGCGCCGGAAGTCGAGCAGAGGCAAGGTATGTCTGCACATGGTGCTTCGCACAGGAGCTCCGGATGCAAGACGTAGAAGAGGAGCATTCGGTCCCCGTCATCGTGAGGGACTGGAAGCCGGTGCTCACCACAGACTACGGGGTCAGGTACCATTACTCCCTGAACTGCCCCACTTTGGCGGCAACACGGAGGTGGGATGCCTTCGACCGGTGCCGACGATGCGCCGGAGTCAGAGGGAGGGGGTACGCCAGGATCCCGGGGTGATGACCTACATCGAGGACGGCTTGAGCTGAGGGGCGGAACCGGTAGCGCAGGTGCAAGCCTAACGGATTGTACCTGGGAGGAGTGTGAACTAGAGGGGTTCATGTATAGGCAATCAAACCATGCACAATGGAGCCGTTTTTGTGTCGAGGAAAAGACCGCTTCTGAATAGCGGCACCACAGTTATAATTCACTCTTACATGCGAATCTGTCTTGCAAAGTTTGCTTTATGTAGCCATGTGTGAGGCTGTTGGGCCATCCGGGTTGGGCTTTCCTGCAAAAAGAAGCTGTTGAATTCAACGGCAAGGTCCCCTTTTAGCGCCCTTGGAGTATTTGCCGGGGGGCGAAAACCAAAACGCAACCTGGCGCTATGCGCTAAGGCCGGAGCGGCAAGACCAAAAAGGACGGCAAGGAGCAGGAAGACTTTGCTACTGCCAGCTGCTGAGAACTCAATCATTTCCCAAAACGGAAACTTAACACCTGCATATTGACTGGGTCATTGAACGAGGCTAAATGTTGAGGGGCTCTCAAAATCATTTTTAGGGTTGGAGTTCTTTGAACCAAGATTTGGAGGGTTGAATGGACTGAGTATGGCATTGAATATGCATGATAAACCTTTTTGATACCCGGCTCCAGGTCACACTGAATGCAAAATAAATTCCCCTCGGATTGGGCAAGTATGTTTGACAACCAGATTTTGGCCTCCTTTTTGCTAACAACCATCCGTGGTTTATCTCATGTGTTGGCCCCGGCCTGCTCTTCCCCGCAGTTGCCGGCGCTCGTGCAAGAGGTTTCGGGGTCCAAGGCTACGAGTCCGGTATACGGGGTTTCCAGAGCGCACAGATGGCGATAGGCCGCCCAACACGCAAAGTTGGGTTTTGCTTCTTCTTGGGTTCCCCGAATCTACCCCAGAAAGCGCACAGATCCTTCAAAGAGGAGACGCCCAACCGTTCGAAAACCAACCTTGGTGGCTCCCAGCCATCCCGTTCCATTTAACCCACTAAAAGTTAAACTTTTAGCAGGGATCTGAGGACAGCCCAGCAACTAAATACCAATACCAGGCGCCGGAAATCCGCTGGAGGTCTGGGGGGTTAGCCAAAGGGAGGTTTCTCCCCCAAGACCGGGGCAGAGGGAAGCGGACGTTCTGAGTTGATCCCCCCCGGCACCGCCTTTGCCGCGCTGGGCTGCCTTAGAGATGTGGCCTGGGGGCTCAGCGCTCGGATTAGGGGACAACATTATGCTGCTTTATTTGCGGTTTTCATTCCAGCATTATATCCTCCATTTCATCTTTGTTTACAGGATTTCATGTTGATTGTGGATGAAAGGATATAATGGTGGAAACAGAGATTACGAAGAGACGTTAATGAGTTGGAAAGAAGGAGAGAACCGTCTGGGATCTCGGATCTCGTTTGACATGCTAGTTTAAGGTTCTCCACATATGGTCCACAGTCAAACATCTCATGGTCGGTTGAAGGCTACAAGCAGAGGTAGTGTTGAGGGGCACCCGTTTTAGGTTTGGCGACTCGCATGTTGACATCACAGGTTCAAGGGGGAGGCCTGTGGACTCCACCAAGAGACTAGAAAGCACTCATTGAGCCGAAAAGGAGGCATTGGTGGCCTCGGAATTGGGGGCCCCTGGACCCTAGTTCAGGGAGTGGTGAGGGAGGGGGTGGGGGGATTTGCGGGCAGAGCCTTGGGTGGTTGCTCCATGTCCCGCTCTGTGGCCTTGGGGCCGTTGGCAAACCCGTGCTGGATTTGAGTCGGGCATGGCCGAACAAAGAACTGCTCGGGGACCACACCGGCACCATTCAGCACCTGAGCAATAAAGGCACAAAGTTCGAGCCTTGTGTCCAGCACAGAGACTTGGACCTTGGAACTTGGAACTGTCCAAACTCATGTTTATTCCCCTGCCAAAACCTCCCAGCTCTAAGGTGTTTTTTGCCCCCTATGCCTGCCACGAGGCGAAAAGCTTCAAAAGCGCTTGCACTAAGCTGCACAAATAATGGCTCGATGTGACCTTAGGCAAAGCGCTCTCTGAAAAGGGCCTGCAATTTGGGTCTCTAATGTAAGCCTCCAAAATACTTTGGCTAACTTAGCTTCAACCAAGCACACCCATTCCAGCACCTTTCAAGGGCTGCTTGTTCCTGCGTCTAACCCCTCGAGTTCATTGCGGGCTCCTTTTTGGATGGGAAGTTTTACCGTCGTCTTTTTTAGGCTGAAAATGTGGACGCCCAGCTCGAGCTCATGATTGAGAAGCTGGAGCTGTCTCTTGGCGGATCTGAGTCCGTGGGACCTTCCGGAGCCTGGATCCACGGATGCCTGGAATTCTTTGGTTTGTATAGGGCTTACTCGAACTGGGTTGTCCGACTCAGTTCAGTAGAACTCAAAGGTTGGAAATGGACCCTTTTTGGATGGTGTCTGAAGGGAGGTCGAGAAACCGTTCAACCAGTTTCAGATGTGGGTTGTCTCAAAATCAGGGACCGAGCTCAGATTAGATTATCGCCCGCTTGCACCAGCAAAGGTCAACCTTGGGCATCACCTGTTCAACCCTTGATGATTGATGTGATCTTTCAATTGATTGAGATGTAACTCAACACCGGCAGTTTTACTTTGGGGAAGAAAGACTATCCCAGTGTTTCAGTGGATTCCGCCGGGTTTCGCAGTTTCTCGCAAGAATTGGGCCCGGCCCCAAATAAGGTTCCCTTTTGCTATCAGGGTCACTGGTTGCAACTGGGGTTCGCAGATCAGCTTGAAAACCAGAGTTGGTGCTCATGTTAGATTCGATGGCCCCCGTGATTGAGATTACGGTGTGTAGTTTGCGGATGGGAAAACTCGACTCTCAAGCGCCATTGTAAGGGGATGTAGTTGATAGTTCTTTGAATGCGATGTTGGCTTATGCAAAAGAAATCAGTCCAAGGCGGGCCATTTGATATTTTGGGTTTGCATGGTTTTCCGTACGGTGACGCCGTATGTTCTGGGAGCACAAGCATGAATCTCTTGCGACATCTGGGTTGTGGTACTGCGTTGCTGGAGCGTGCATAAACCATGCAGGCGCTATGTTCGAAGGATCTGAGGACATAGCACCTTGAACAAGGCCTTGGAGCAAAGCAGCCATCAGACACCGACAGATCTTTCTTGTGTCAAGCCAGCCTTGCTGCAGCTGTGGTTTCCGAGTAAAAGCTATCATGTCAGAATCACGCGTGGCGCAACCCAGAATCCATGTTTATCTATGGCTTGAAAATGTTTGTTAGCGATAATAGTTGTGATATGTTTGTTTTGGCGCAGGAGCAACAGATGGTACACGAGGATTTGTTTTTGTTTGCAGGAATGATAGTTGTTTTGATGTTGTTGATTTGCGTAATTCTTGGCGAACAAAATACAAGTTCATTTGATGGTATTCACATTGGTTTGATGTGAAGATTGCATGCGTGTGTTAGACAATGAGCAGCAAGCGTTGATTGGAATTGTATTGGTGTTGCACATCCGTCTACAACACAATTTATGTGTTGCTGCTTGGCTGGTGCTGTTGTTGATTCATTATGTTGCAGGATACAAATTCACAAGGAAACACATGGTTTCAGACACAATTCAAATACGAAGACACAAATACGATCATATACCGTGAACTCAGACAAGCACACAAACAACATAATTCAGAACATTAAGAAACAAACACCGTTTAACAACATGACGAACTAAAAACTCCGCTTTCGCACAATTTGACGATCAATGAACGTTATACAGATTTGCATTCAATTGACAATTGTGGCAATCATGTTACATTATACGATTAACCACATCTAATTCAATTTCATAGTTCATGTAAAGACACATTAGGTTGACACAGTTGAGTGCTACAGGATTTGATTATCACGTGTGCTGAAATGTTATATGCGACGCACAACAAGTATTAATCAATCATACTGTTTCGATCTTCAATCAATGATGTTGAAGATGATTATAACAAATGTCGTGTTTTGTTTGGTGCGATGGATCGAAACAACAATATTTTGCGGGAATGCATGTACATTGGACAGTTTCGTATGGGTGCAAAAGGGAATGCTTTGGGATGGTAGCGGCGAGCTAAAGCAATGCCCTTTTTTGGAGACATGAACAGAGCATGGACTATATCGACTTGAAACGTGTCCTTCCATGGGCATGCTATTTGGGGTGACCGCCCAACACATTCACGATCTATCGAACGATTTTGCCGGTTGCACTTCTTGAAATCACCAACTAGGTGTCCCTTTACCTTGGAAGCTAGAAGGTATTCTGCTATCGAATTGCACTCTCTAGCATGTCAACGGCGGGCTGGCCCGATATTGAACCGAGGTGCTGTGAACTCTTCGACTTTGCAAAGGACGACAGAATGCCTTGCGCGCAGAGGGCGCACGTTAAAAACGCGCTCTGGAGCGTTTTGGATATATGTCCATTGACTTCCCACTAGGGTTTGGCCATTCCCTTGATGAAGACGTGCTCAGACCACTATTGTTTTAATGATCACCTTTTGTGTTTTTTCCAGGGATCACGGGCTGGGTGTTAAAACGTATGTTGCCCACCCTCCGCTTCCCGTGCTTTCAAACTCATGCCGTTTTGTTGCCCAACGAATTGCTTAGTAAGGGTTGAGGAAAGCCCTACGTGAGCCTACGGGTTTCTAGACCAGCTTTGTTGTGCCCGTGGTTTTATTTTTGCGAAGGAGGGGGGATTCAACTACATATCACCTACCACAAAGGCTGCGCTCTTTGCGCATGGCCACTAGTGGTTTGGGTGTTGCAAGTAAAGGAGGGGTTGGTGCCATAGCATGAATCAGTACTGCTGAGGCACAACCTTGCTAGCGGCTGTTGATGCATGTTATGATTTTTGTTTGGGTTGATGAGTATGAGTACGAAAGAAAAGACAACCCACCCCAGAAAGTCTGCTTGGAACATTCTTTCAGGACAGGTTCTTGTACGGCTCGCTGCAACCCTTCTGGTAGAAGGGGGCCTAATGCCTGAATGAGACTTCACACAGTTTGACCGCTTGACTCGAATGAGGCATACCCTCGCCCAGTTCTGTTAGAGGGTACTGTAACTTTCAGGAAATTGACTTCCGAGCCAGGTACCAGTTTTCGCAAGCATCTTAGGGCTTCACTTGTAGCCAGATACCTGGCTCTGTAGACGCTTGGAATCTGCACGCGTTGAAGGAAGCGGCATTACTATTGAGGGGGCCACACGGCCAAACAAATCAAAACAGGAAGCTGAATCTGGCTGCCTGCATACTACTGGATGAGCTGCTCCTTGCGTAACACTGACCATGCTGCATGGACTTTCGGAGAGCTCTCAGGCAAGAAAAAGATGGGAAGCGCTTCACACTCCTCGAGATTTTGGCCCATTGGCACGGGACTCAGGTGTCTTAGGAGACCTTTCGCAGACGTGAAGCAGTTGATTTCTCACTTCCCCTTGCTTCCCATAGTCCCGTTTGCCTACTAAGAACACACAACAAGGAAAAGAAAGGAAGAACAAAACGCATGAAATTAACAGAGATAGAACGAAGGAAGGAAAGCAGGACATTATGTCTACTGGAAGACAACGAAAGTATTATACAAAATAGAGGAGATAAATAACAAAACAATACAATCAACGACCAGACAAGCAAGAACGTGAACTACATCAACAACGAAACAAAGAAAGTTCAAGAAAAGAACGAAAGGAAACAAGTACATAATCACAACAATCCAGGAAAAACACATAACACACACCAACAAAGAGGAAATCAAGAAAGAAAGCCAAAGGAAACACATAAGGACATAAAGAAACAACTGAAGACATAAAGACAGACATAGATACATAACTAATGAGACACAACAAAGTGCATCATACGTAAAAACAGACAAACCAGCACAAAACACATAGTGACATAAACAAATGACGAAAGGACCAACAGCAGACATTAAAATGACACAACATACACAAGGAACATAAATAAAGGAACACACCAATAAATGAATTAAATATCATTCATAAGGAAATAACAAACGACATACACAACGAAAAAAGTACAGACAAACATACATAAATTCATCCATAAAGACCAACAACACATATGTATATATATGCTGCAAGACATAAACAATACAAAACACATGAATGGAATAAACAAAGAAACAAGGACATCAACCACACTCACAAATAAGTAAAGAACCCCAAACATAATCACGCAAGTAAACGAAGGACATACAGAACGGTTGAAGGAAGGACACAAACAATAGAAAGGAAGGAAAGCAAGGCGGAGCTATATAAATATCAAAAGGACGCGACATGAAATGAAAGCGTAGAAAAGGACAGGAACGCAGGGAAGGGAAGCGAAGGGAAGGACGAAAGGACAGACAGAAGAAAAACGAACAAGTGAAAAATAGATAAATCAGAAAGAAAGGAAAAATGTTAGAGAAATACAGACAAGACATGATAAATACAAAATTAAACAAACCAAAAGAAGGGACGGTAATTTCAGGTACTGCAGCATGCTTGTAGATCTGTGTTTGAAGGCTGCTCAGGTTCCGCTGCTCTTGCTCGCTCTTTGCGCCACATCGAGTCAAGTTGAGAAACACGGGTGCTGAGTTCGTGGTGGAAGATAAGTTCAGACTCTCAGACGATTTGCAGGCACTTTAAGGATCGGGTCCTCATGAAGACCCCGAAAACGAGAGTCCTAAGCGCGTGGTCTGGTTCTATTCCCAAGCTCACAAGCGGAGGTTGGCCTGAGCTTGTTGTGCTTGGATATCATGGTGCCGCGCTTTGCCAGCTTTCCTGGCTAGTGCTTCACGAAGCAATTTACCGGCTCTTCTACTTTGATAATTTCTCCAGTGCCGGCCTTCTTCCTTTTTGGAGGCTCTCCAAAATCCGCTACCCCAAAAGATCATGCCTTCTTTCCAAGGCCGAAGGATTGGGTCTGAAACCGCCGACGTCGATGTTAGGCCAGGAGGGGAGAAGCCCGAGAAGGAAGACCTGACGAAGCCGACGAAGAAGAGCAGCAGGCTAGGGCCTGAGCGCTTAGGAGCCTGCATGTTTGATTTGTTAGTTGGTTTGATGGCTTCTTTGCTTGCTTGCTTGCGTGCCTGCCTGCCTGCCTGCCTTCCTGCTTGCCTGCCTGCCTTCCTGCCTGCCTTCCTGCCTGCCTGCCTGCCTGCCTTCCTGCCTGCCTGCCTGTGTGCCTGCCTGCCTGCCTTCCTGCTTGCCTGCCTGCCTTCCTGCCTGCCTTCCTGCCCGCCTTCCTGCCTGCCTGCCTTCCTGCCTGCGTGCCTGCCTGCCTGCCTGCGTGCCTGCCTGCCTGCCTGCCCGCCTGCCTGCCTTCCTGCTTGCCTGCCTTCCTGCCTGCCTGCCTTCCTGCCTGCGTGCCTGCCTGCTTGCCTGCCTGCCTGCCTGCGTGCCTGCCTGCCTGCCTGCCTGCCTGCGTGCCTGCCTGCCTGCCTGCTTGCTTGCTTGCTTGCTTGGTTGCTTGGTTGTTTGTGCGTTTCGGTTGGTTGGCTGTGGTTTCACTGGTTGTATGGTTGTACGGTTGATTGGTTGATTGAACGGACTGATTGACTACTGGTTGAGTAATTTTGATTTGGCTTCCTTGGTTGATTAATTTGAGCTGAGTTGAGTTGAGTTGATTTGATTGATCTGGCTTGACTCGACTTGAGGTGAATTAAGTCAGCGAGTAAGTGAGTGAGTGCGTGAGTGATTCAATTCATAGGTGTTTCAGTTCATTTGATAGTTTGATATAATTGGTCGATTGTTTTGTTTGATTTTCTTTATTGATTGGTTTGTTTGATTGATTCATGTGTTTTGAGTTGGTTTGACTTCATTGATTGATTGATTGATTGATTGATTGATTGATTGATTGATTGATTGATTGATTGATTGAGTGATGGATGTATGGATTTAGTGATTTGATTGATTTGATTGATTGAGTGATTGATTTGATTGATTTGATTGATTGATTGATTGATTGGTTGAATGATTGATTCATTCATTAATTGATTGATTGATTGATCGATTGATTGATTCATTGAATGATTTGATTGATTGATTTGTTTGATTGATTGATTGATTGATTGATTGATTGATTGGTTGGTTGGTTGGTTGATTTGATTGGGTGGTTGGATTGATTGATTGATTGATTGATTTGATTGATTGATTGATTGATTGATTGATTGATTGATTTGATTGATTGATTGATTGATTGATTGATTGATTGATTGATTGATTGATTGATTGATTGATTTGATTGGGTGGTTGGATTGATTGATTGATTGATTGATTGATTGATTGATTGACTGATTGATTGATTGTTTGATCCATCGATCAATCATCGATCGATATCGATTGATCGATCGATCGATTGATTGATTGATCGATTTGTTTGTTTGATTGGTTGATTGATTGGTTGGTTGGTTGGTTGATTGATTGATTTGATAGATAGATTGATTGATTGATTGATTGATTGATTGATTGATTGATTAGTTGATTGGCAGGTTGGTCAATTGATTGACTAATTTATTGGCTTGTTGGTTGATTGATTGATTGATTGATTGATTGATTGATTGATTGATTGATTGATTGATTGATTGATTGATTGATTCATTGTTTTGATCCATCAAACGATCTATCGATCGATTTGATTGATTGATCGATTGATTGATTGATTGATTGATTGGTTGGTTGGTTGGTTGATTGATTGATTGATCGATGAATTGATAGATAGATTGATTGATTGATTGATTGATTGATTGATTGGTTGGTTGACTGATTGACTGATTGATTGATCGATGGATTGATTGATTGATTGATCCATTTGGTTGTTTGATTTGGTTGATTGATAAATTAAGTGCTTGTTATGATTGATTCATATCGTGTTTTGTTTTGTTCTGTTTGATTTATTTTAGTTGATTTATTGATTTGATTTGATTTGATTTGATCTGATCTGATCTGATTGATTGACTGATTGATTGATCGATGGATTGATTGATTGATTGATCCATTTGGTTGTTTGATTTGGTTGATTGATTAATTAAGTGCTTGTTATGATTGATTCATATCGTGTTTTGTTTTGTTCTGTTTGATTTATTTTAGTTGATTTATTGATTTGATTTGATTTTATTTGATCTGATCTGATCTGATTGATTGACTGATTGATTGATTGACTGACTGACTGACTGACTGACTGATTGATTCAGCTGTGGGTCAGGCTTTCCTTTATAGTCTGCCTTGAAAGTAACAGGTGTGCCCTCGACAAAAACATAAAGTAAGAGTAGATTATGTTTGCCCTTAAGAGAGTTGTGAGAATCGTTAACTTTCTTCAATTTCCCTTTCTCCCACTAACGTGGCACCTGACCGGGGGTTTGTCCAAGTGGAAAGGGATCTTCCAGGTACCCTCCCACAGTTGCAATGTGAATGGGAGGGAGGGTAGGCTGGGGTAGACTTAGGATACATTTTGCCTTTTGGCATCGACTCAAAGTGAAGCAAGCAATACAGTATACATTCTATAACTGGGCCGAACTCTAATCATGTAGGTGCACACCTCTTCATGTTGCTTAACGCAGAATCCTCTTTGGCCCTGCCCGGCCAGGATCCAGAGCGGCGGCCCCATATTGGCAACGCTCGCTCGCGTGGTGAGATCAACATGGAACCCGTAGGTGCCACGGTCAAAAGACTTGCTTGCTTGGGGTCGGTGTCGGTCCCCTGTTTTGACCATGACCATGACAGACAGTATGGGCAAGTCTTTCTGTCATGGCACCTTTTGTTTGCGGAACCAAAGGGAAGCCGCCCACTTTGGGTGAGGTATGCAAGCATATATATATATATAGTATTACATACACGCCGTTTGTCTAACTTAGAAGTGATAACCTTTTGACCTGTTTGATCAAGAACTCTCCTCACAATTTTGTATCATTCGCAAGCCAGACGCATTAACATAAACAAAACAGCAATGCACAGGGCGCGTATTTCCCCAAGGGGTGAAGGGCAAATCTTCGTTCCAGTGAACCTTCAAGCTGGCAACGTGACACAACACCATTCTTAAGCAGCCAAAGTGGAAGCCGCCCAGCCTTGCAAATGTCCCTCATTTCCCAGGCATGTTTGGAGAGAATTCGCAGCCTTGCAGCCTGTAAAAAATGCAGTGTTGCAGTTTTGGAGCACCCGACCTGCCCCCTCACACGCAAACATGGAGTGCACGGAACCTCCCCCTTTCGAAATTGCATTTTTAGAGAGCCTTCTATTGAATTCTCACCGTCGCAGCCTCGCCACCTGACAAATGCCATGTTTGAGCTATGGAAGTTGCCCAGCGTTGCAACAGCCCCAACACTTCCGCGGGAGTATCCAGGGTTTTCAGGGTTTTAGGCCCCCGAGTATGGTGCTGTCCCCCCCCCCCCCGTTTTTGCCACGAACCAGGAAGCCACGAGGAGTTATCAGTCAACGCAAAGCGCTAACCTGAACCCGAGTTGTTGCTTGTTAAATCTGGGGCTTCTACACTGTGGAAGGAGGGCATTATAATATATGTATGTACACGTAGACCGTGAACGTGACGTGTTTGTGAGATTTGTGCACGGCATAGACCCCCAGCACACAAGTCGCGGCATTGCATGACACTTTTGGCTACCCGATTCGGGCAATTTTTGTTCGGCTGTTCAACGTGCTATTGAGCTCCCGCCCACCCACATAGTCGCTCGTCAGCTTTACGCCGTGGGATGTCACGTTCCGTCTCTTTCGCTTGCTTTCCACACGCATGAAGGTGCGCTGGGGCCTGCAGTTATGCAATTGCGCGACGCGTGAAGGCCACATGCTCGGCAGCATAGGGTTTGTATATATGCATATGATATAATGAGTATGGTCCAGGCCCCCCCGATGGCCGGTAATTGGCGTCCTGGGTGAAGTGCCGGCAATTGACCAGCACTTGCTTAAAAATGGTTTTGTAGTCACATAGACTTTTTTGCCATCATCAAAGTGCAGTGCAAAGTCACTTTTGTTGAAACGTCACTTCAGGATACCAGACAGGATCCGGTTGAGGGGTTGGGCTGACATGTATGATCATTGCACATGCAACGCGCGGGGGCGGGAGGGGGGGCGACACGCTAGTGACACGCTCACATCCCTAAAAAGTGACCGTTCAACGTACATGTGCCGGCAATTGGCCACCCCCCGACACGCCGTGACACGCCGTGACACGCTCCTCAAGAACCCCTCCCAACCTCAAACTTGCCCTCCAAACCTCAAATTTGCCGCTCTCCCCTTTCCCCTGCAACCCCATTCCAAAGGACCCTGGAAGGTCACTTGTATCATTGCACAAATTGCACTAAGTACAGATGAGTGATACTTGCTAGCAAATTGGTTTTGCAGTCACTTAGACATAAAGTGACATCGTTTTGCCCAAAATCGATGTGCCGGCAATTGGCCAGCCATTGGGGGGTGCTGGGTTATGCTTTATGAACAATATTTGTTTAAATGTTGTTGATGCACACCCGGCCGAGGCAGCACCGTGCTCCACTGCATGGCTAGCGAGTTCTCGTACGCACAATCTCAGCAGGCATCGCCTTTGCAAGCAAATCCATCTCAACACGTGGCTCCATGCAAGCGGCTCCGGGCGCGTGCGCGGAGAGCCGTTTAAGAGACTGGCGTAGCGTTTGTCAGTTCGCGCAAGTTTGCGCAAGGGCTGCGCAGGTTTCTGGCTTGGTAAGCTGTGATTTCAGCTTACGAGTTCTCGCGTAAGGACAAGGGCAACGCTCTGGATGCCCTGGGTTTGCAACACTTCCACGTCCGACGCAAGATGCAGCTCCATCAGCACCATGGCAGGTTTCTCGAGGGCTCCAGTTTCCAGAGAGGTTCTGGGGAGGTTGGGATAAGGTGGCCCCGGATGAATTTCCGTTGCTCGTCGAGCTTGTTTCATTCCCGAGGCAGCGACGAGGCATGCAACTCCGCAACCCTCGTGAGCAGCTGTGGCACCGAGTCTTCCGAGCTCTCCGGCAGGCAGAGAGTCTAGAATGGTGAGACCGTTGACTCAAGCAAGCATCGAATTGCTGGCTGCTAGCAAATTATCGAACCACACAACTGAAGAGGGGTCTCCGCATTCCCCGCATGATAGAAAGTGTTTGTCCTGCTTCAGTCAAATTCAACCCTGCTCTTCCCAGTTGCTTGAACTGAGCCAACCTGAATACCAACATTCCGGCTCACAAAATTCGGACCTTCATTGGTGCCCGAGAAAGGGTTTTTCCTTTTGGCTTTGGGTGTGGCGTTGTTCAAGCCAAAGACCGGTATGTTTGCGGTTTGAAGAATTGCCTTAAATCGCGGTGGATCCAGTCATGTGAATCAGATGTTGGGTGTATCATTCACTTATTGCATGTGCAGCCCAAATTTGAGCAAACACTTATATCAGTTGGTGCAGGCTGTCGAAAGCTTGATGCATATGGATGTCGGCAATGTTTGAATGCAGGCAGCTGTTTGGACAATCAACAGCAGATAGCAGGGACTTCCTCAATTTGCAGGCGGACGTGCATCGAATGACTCAATCTGGTTAGAAGATGATAAAGGGCAAAGTTGCTCACGCGAGAAGCAAGCTGTGTTGCAGGGAGAAGATGAATAAATGTGTTACGAGCAGCTTTCCGCAATGCATGCAGGCAATTGCGCTTGGTTTAATGTGGGGAAGGATCCGTCTGAAGCCAAGCAAGGAAATGCATAGGCTCATTGACAATGCGGATTTGTTTGAGACTATTGCGGAGCTTGTCTCCTGCGACAGACTGCAAAAGATACGTTCACTTGAGTCACTGCTGACAGCCTCACCTCCAGCCGAACCTTGTACCTAGCACGGCCATGATGTGGGAATCTTTCGCGACGCGCCAATTGTTTTCCGTGAGGTGGCCCTTCTTAGGCTAGCAAAATGCCTTTTCTAATGATCCCGAGGGGGACATGGCATTATCCGCATATTGGTTTGTCGGCTTTTGACATATTGTGCCGAGTGTTTTTTTCTTTTCAAGCTCCCCAAGCAAAGTCACAGCAGTACAATGTCAGCAATACCCCTGTGTAAATAAACATGCGTAGTGCAGATTTTGGCAGCTGGGTCAAGACATGGATCCCTCTATGCCGGATTTCAACCAATGTGAGACCTGTGCACTCCCAGACTTGAATCGGTCGCAGGCACAGCAGCCAACTGTTCAATTCCGCGGCCCGGAGCCTTGATCGCCCGAGTTGGAGTTGTTCGTCGACCTGCGGAGTTAGTCGGGGGTGCTTCCCGACTCCAAACTGAAGAAGCCCCTCTAAACGGCGACGCCGCGCTGGAGTCAGCCAGGGTGGTATCAGCACTGGATTGCCATGAATTGAGTTTGGACCTTGGGCAATTGCGACGAGCTTGCCTGGGCGAAATTCGAGCTCACCCGCGATGAAGGTACTTGACTGATCGGTTCCCTTATGTCCAGTTTGGAAGTTGAAGGTTATTTGTGCAGATTGAGTTGGTACTCTTTGGGGTTCCAAAACGAAGCCACAAGGAATTTGAAGAATTTCGGGGCTTCCCGCTTTGGAGACACATTGGCACCGCTGCCAACTATGGATCCCGCAGACAGCGTGCACTTTGTTTGTCGTCTCATGTTGGCTTCTGAAAGTGTGCTTGTTAGGCTCGAGCCAGGCCAAACTGTCCCTAGAGCAGATGGCTTTGCTTTCGACTGGGAAGCACTGCAGAAGTGTCCCAGGTCGCACCTTGCAGGAAGCTCCAGCTTATTCACAGTCAAAACGTGCGACAGACACAAAAGTGCCACACACAACTATTTGATGGTGTTTTTTTCTTGAGAAATGAACGGTACGTACGTAAACATCCTAGCGAGTCGGTTCTTGCGCTGTCCTGGGTGCATTTGTTCCACGAAACAGTGCATTTTCGCCAGGCGAAAACAGCTTTGCTAGTGCCCAACATGCTTGATTTGTCTGGAATGTTTCGGGAACGGTCACTTCCGCCCGTCAACCCCTCCACCTCACCACAACTCCAACATTCAAGCATCTATCCCAGCTCAGCAAAATCGAGATGCCCGGCTCCGGGCAGTTGCAACTGCAATGCGGAGACTTTTGCACAACTAAACACGCAGCTTTCGGCCCGCATGCAGGAACATCTTACACATGCAGACATTGAGATTCGCTGAAAATGCTACCAGTTTTGCTCAAAATCAATATGCCCACCTTTCGCATGCGGTCAGCAAGCTGTTTTTGCTAGCGTTGAAAGACCGGCAACGGCCCAAGGCCAGTTGCGCCCAAAGAGAGGCCCACAAACAGTTGATCGGCTGGATTTGGTTCATGATTCAATTCGTCTAGGGTTCCTTTCAGTGAAGACTTGCGGTCAAGGCTTGTTGGCTCTGGACGATAGGAACAATGATCAAATCAAGCTCTATTTGCTTTCTCAATTGTAGCACATACATGCCCAGGTGGCAAATGAGTCGGCAAATGTAGTCATATTTGTGTCTTGATTCATTTGTGTCGAGCTCTTGGGAGACTGTGACCCGCACCCCCATGGCTCCCATGGACTTCGTTCAATGCTGAGAGCAGTTGGAAAACAAGGGCCATTATTTTGTGTTTTCGCTGTTTGCTCGGATATTCTTCCGGATTCGTCCTCCCTTCAACCGCTCTTGGGGTGAAGCGGCGATGTGTTGTGTTGTTTGCATCTTTTTGTCGCGGTTTGGAAACAATTGGGCAGGAGGTTGGACAAAGTGCCCGCCACCAGCCAAGCGGTCTCGGTAGTCAATGTTAGTTTGGGGAGGGCGGGAAATGGAAGGGGGCGTACAAGCTTCCCACTCAAACCAGGGGCCCAAAATTTCCCAGGTCCTCTTCTCCGCCAAGCACTACTTGCCGGTGTAATAGGTTTCCCTTTTCTGGTGTCCCCTCATTGGTTTCAACCAGCAAGCAGTTTGGTTTCGTAGGAGGTCAGACCCGATTGGCCAAGTCTTTGCCCGGGGCTCAGGTGAAGATGATCCGTGCCAATGCGTTTCGCACGCAGTTGCACAAAGATCGTGCGGGCGCCTGGTGCATTTTTTTTTCTTTCTCAACACAGCTATGGGGTCGATTCGACCTTTCGGGGCGAGGGAGGTAGGGCTCCAGATGTCAATCCCTGGCCCAGAAACTCTACCTGAATTGCGGAGGTTCTGGCGGCCGGGGCCCGGGGCAGTGCGAAACCAGAAGGCCCAGCCACCAGCCCAGAACTGACAAGCAAAGAACTGACGAACACAAACTGAGCAAAGTGAAAGCAACCGAAACAACTGGAAGACTGGTTTCTGGTAGAGATGCAGCCAGACTTTACACCTGGGAGCAGTACTTTGGTCATGTTTTTCAGCTCTGGACTCAGAGAACTGTGAAAAGGGTTTTACAATGCAGCGCAAACAAAACCCGAGGCTGAGGCTGATTTTCCAGCTGAGTTGACATACAATGTAAGAACTTTTGCAGAAGAACTTGGCGGTTGAAAGAGTATGTTAGGGATGTCTGAGCATTGGGGGCTTGACAAGCTCCAAGTGCTGTGGTCCCAATGGGAAACTAACGCAACGAAAATCACATTTTGAGGTCTTCAGGCTCCAACATCTCCAAGGCTCCAAAAGATGCCTAGGGTCTTCTCAGCGCTTTCTGGCTCTGAAGGGGGAGTTCTCAGCATTGTGTGCTTCCCAGTTGCAGAAACGTTGGCGCCTCTCAGCACTTTAAGCGCTGAGAGGTCCAAGTGTTTCTGTCTTGAGAGAGTGCTTCTTTCAACTCTCAGCGCGGTCTGCCTTTGAGCCCAGAAACGTTGGGAGTCTAATTGGGACCTCTGGGCATTTTGGGCTTCCCAGGCACCCCAATGCTGAGCAACTGAGCAACCCCTTTCGTTCAAGGATCAGAAGGCATTTCTGCCATCATGGGAGGTCCCTGAAAAGCCAATCTTTGGAGTGTAGACCTGATAATATGTTTTTTGTTTGAGTGCATTTGAAGGCAGACACACCTGGGACCCCCAGCACTTTGGAGCCTGGGCTTCCGTCCTTAAAGACGGCTCCAACCACCAAGTTCTTTCTGCAAATTTATTGCAACATGTCACTATGTCAACTCATTTGTAAGATTCCCATCAGCAACATCACAAGTCCACAGCTATCTGCAAAGGATCCTTTCCATACATCATGCCCTTCTCGAAGCTCTTAAGAGTTCAACATGTCAACTCATCGGCAAGATTCTCCAAGACTATTTGCAAAGGACCTTTTTCAATCCAGTAGCCTCAAGAAGATGCAAGCAAGTTCCTGAACGAATTCCGTTCTTGTGTTTGTATTATTGAGGTGTATTTGTATGTGTTCTTTCTTCATGTATATTTGTATAAGTGTAGCCATGTCTACTTTGGGCTCCGGTCGTGCTCCGTGCAATTCTGGTGGTTCCGTGAAGGCACCCCCATGGATCTTCTGGACGGCGATGACGACGAGCCTCTGCTGGAGCCCGTCGGGTAGCTAAGCGATCGAGCGATCGATCATGGCTCCAAAGCCACGAAACCCTACAACCAAACAACACACGTAGAGGGTAGATGGGAAACCGCCCCTTAACCGCAAAACCACCGGCTCCACCACCAGTTAGTGGGGAGTTGCTATGAACATGGCATGACCGAAGACCACTAAACATATTTGATATTGCATGGAAACAGTTATGCCCATGGTCATTTGGGGGCCGAACGGAATATTGTTCAACCCACAAATCGTGGCGTCAGAGGCCTGGTTTGTCGGTTTAGAGTTTGCCGTCGAAGCGACATCTTCTGGACTTCTCTTTCGCCCCGTTGAGCAAAATAGAGGAACACGCTGTGTCAGAGAATAGTTTTTTTTTTTTTTTTTTTTTTCTCAGGGGGTTGGTAATTGCATTGGGTCAAGTGCCGTGTTTCATATATGGCCGTGGCTCAAAAGACCGGAATTCCAAAATGGAAAACTGGGTGGAAACATGGGCCAAGACCCGCGGTTTACCCCTCCGCTTTAATTTTGAGCCACAGCCATATGGGTGTGTAGTTTTTGAGGCTACCCTTATCACCTTGGTTTAAGGAGAAGCAAACAAAACAAACTAAAAGCAAAATGGCTGTGATGTTTGACTCCGACAAACCGAGGATTTGGAGACGAGTCTTCTAGAACTCTTTAGACAAAATGTGACAAGTTGAGGTCAATCAGCTGGACTAGACTCGGATGCACAGATATCAATTGAGGGCGATTGGTGTTTGTGTTCTTGTCCTTTGTCCAGGCACAACCATACGCTTTGCATTTGTGGACAGGCCCCAATAGCAAGTACACGCAGGTTGGTTTGCCCCACATGCGTTGTTCGATGTTAGCAATCGATGATCAGGTGATGTCAGGCACATATACGTGTCAAAGCTAGGGACTTCTTTGGAGGATGGTTGTAGAAGGACGCCAAAGCATCGAACATCATCCTGCCGCCCTTTCCAGGTGGGTCAATGGAAAACTTGCACCGCCACACTTGGCTCTTGGAAGCCCAAATTGATTCAAGGCTCTCTTGTCATGATGCGTGGGAAAATCGCAGGGGACCAGCACATTCAATGTGCGAGAATGTGCGTTTGTTTGTGTGTGAGAGTGTGAGTGTGTGCGGGCGTGGTATTTGTGTTTGTGTTTGTTTGCATTCGCGTGTCCGTGTTTGCGTGTTTGGCAAATTAATATTGTATCTCTATCACAGTTACAGAATTGTGTGTGTATTGCATGGACGGTGCATTATTCAAGACAATGCTAGTTATCGATTATGTTTGTATGTGTACATATGTAGTATACTTGTATACACATGTTGTACGTATACTTGTATACACATGTTGTACATATGCGGTGTCTCACTTGTGAGCATATAGATGCAACATGGGGTTTGTGTGCATTCACTGTTCGGAGCAAACAATCCCATATATGTGGAAGGGGTCAAAGGTGCGCCAGGCATATCAACCGCATGTTTCTGGGCAACGTATGGCGAACTCACTTGAGGATAAAAAGAGCTTGCCTGGCGAGAAAGCGAACTCACCCGTGATGAATGTCGTTAAGAGTCCCATTTTGTTTTCATGTTCCTTAGGGCGGATTGGTGAAATAGCCGGCCCAGCCCATCGCTATCTTCTGGGAAGGCGCTAAACAATTGAGCGCCAAAAAGCGCATGAAATGTGGTGTCTGCCAAGATGCTTTTACATCTTTTCTAGGCCTCACATGCCTCACCATAAAACCCAATGACAGCAGGGAGTGGACATTTGGACCCCGCCAAGCACGCACCCAGACACACACACACAAACATACCCTTTGGGACGACTTAAGCCTGTGCTAGTAGTACCGAGCTTGTTTGGTGGGGGGGGGGGTAAACGAGCTCACCCATGATTGAGGCTCCTTGGGGACTCCATATTGAGCAGATTTGGGCTCTTTCTGGTCACCTTTCAGATGGTTTCATGATTCCTTTGGCCCGCGGGCCCACAGATACCCAAAAAAAGTGCGCTGTGTATCCGAAAATCACGGAGCCCCTTTCTAGGACGAAGTCAACGACCTTCACTGATAGATCTGGGTTTCGAGTTGAACGGCTGCACTTGAACATTTCAGACCTGGCCCCACTTGGAGCTCGTCTACGAGCTGCTTTTGAAGATTGTGCAGACAAAGGCCTGTGCGAACAAAGTCGATTCCCTCAACTGAATGTGATCCCTGGAATTCCAGGCATGGTTTCATGTTCCCTATTTTGGGGCAGCCTGCAAGAGATGATGGATAAACCTTGCTTGTGTGGTTCCCCAATGTCCACCAGAAATGTGGTTGGGTCCTGCTTTTGAGGTGCCCTTTTTGGGGGTTGGTTCAATTTGAAATCAACCCGAGCTGATTTTTGTTGCGGGCTCCCCTTTGAGATAACCCCATGACCTTCGAGCCGCAGATGGCGGATATCAATCTGGAATGCGCCGGCTTGGGTCCAGTGGCTTTCCAGACTACTAGTTGTATATGTTTGGCATATGAGGTTTGGTCAGCTGAGGTCCGTTTCGCAGAGGTCCATTGCATGCTTGTGTTGCCACAGCTGCTTCATAGATGTCTATCACATGTCTGCCAGTGCGCAGTAGGCGCGGTTGGTCCGACACATTTCCTACAGCAACGAGCGCGCCGTGCTTACCGGAAGACAGAAACATGTATTCCCAGACTTTCCAGCCCTCAACAAAATAGTATGGGCATACTAGCTTGGTCCGTATTGCTTATGTAACACCTTGACACATCACACAGTGATGTCGCACATGTTTTATCAGTAAAGACGGGAGAGCCGACAGGCGAAGTTTCAAGAGTATCAGTATTTGTTAGCAAACATATTATACCTCATAACATATATATATATAATATATTCCTCATATATGTATTATCCATTATGCAAGCCCCCTGATGGATCTACCATTTTGCTGTTTGAAGGCTATTTTGGAGACGGAATGCAGTTGTTTTGTTTGGATTGCCCCATGCAACTTGACCAGCATCAGCTCAGAAGCAAGGACATCCTCTTCAAAATCTAAGCTGCCACAAACATTCCAATTCAAAATGTTCTTTGAACAGGAAATCCAATGTAAACTATATTTAAAGCTAGATTATTCTAGATGTGTTTCCTTGTAACATTCGAATTAGATTCTAAATAGAAGCCGGAAAAGCAAAATGTCATGGGAAAGGAAGTCCTCTTTGAAGCTAACTTGAAGTAAAACTCCCGACTAAAGTTGTTATTTAAAAGGAAAATCCTATTTAAACATATTTAAATCTAGAAACCTAAAAGGGTTCTGTCACTTTTAGTGTCTATTTAAGTTATATTTTGCAAAATGACAAATCATCCTGGAAAACTGTTTTTTTGCAATCTAATGTGAAAGTACATTTCCAATGAAACACATTCTGAAAAACAAGCCTATTTCACATAATGTTCTATCTAGAAATGTGTTTCAATTCTGATCCAAACAAGAAAATACCATTGTTTTAAAATATGTTTTCAATTAAGAATTATAATTTCAAATATTGATTGAAATGATATCCGTTTTGAATCATTTTAAACTAGCAACTCTACTAGAATCATGTAAATTCGACAATTGACAATCATAATCCTAGAAAACGAAACCGAGTTTGATATCTAATTTGAACTAACATGTCCAATTAAACGTATTCTCCAAAAAGGACATCCTCTTTCAAGTTTGGGACAATAATTCTAAATGACACTACCAATGATATATATATATATATATATAAAACAACGACCTGTGAGAAATAAGTTTGATTCCTACAAACGTGATTAAAAAAAAAAAAAAAAAAACATACCCTAAACCGGACAGCCTAAAAATGTCCTATTTCTAGGCTGAGGTTTGGTCAGACGATAAAAACATGACAGCCATATCGGACCCAACAGCAAAAAGGGGAAAAACAGAATGCAAACAAAGCAACGTTTTGGAGCCAATGGCCCAAAAGATTAAACAAATAAAAGCAAAACCATAAAATTCTGGAGCCAGTGACTCAAAAATTGAACAGTAAACACACTCAGACAAGTAAAGTATTTCAACCCATGGTCCTGAAGTGAAATACTCTGACGAGGACTGATATATTTTACCATTTGTTTTACTTATCTTTTTGTACGTTTACACTTTATTTTTATACCCTGAATATATATATATATGTATATATATATATGTATATATTGTTATTACCTCTATTGTTTTTTTTTTTGCTTTTGTGTAATTGGCTCCAGGATTGTGCGTTTTTACTGTTTTGCTCCCTTACTTGTTCTTTTGCTTTGGTCATTGGCTTCATAGTTGTACCTTGCGTTGTTCGTTTTGTTCTCTCCATAGTTGTACTTTGCGTTGTTACTTTTGGGCCATTGGCCCCAATATAGCAGTTGTTGGATCTTCTGACCAAACCTCAGAGTAAAAGTTGGACAGAGGTAGATCCAAACCGACTGATTGTTTTTTTTCAGGCCTGGGTTCAAGACTTTCTGAAGAAGTTTGGAGCTGAAGTTTCCAGATTGTCTTTGGACATACACCATTTGTTGCTGCTTTCCCCAAAGCCCCAAACAAGGCAGAAACCACTAAACCAGTGAGATCTGTGGGGGGGGGTGCTACACGTATAGTTATCGTCATCGCTATTTGTTTCTTTCTTTTAACATACTTGTCAGTCTTTCAGCTTATTTATCTTTACATGTTTTCTCTTTATATTATTTCTTTTTTCTTTGTCTCGTTATCTTTCTCTTTTGCTTTATATTTATCCTTCTCTCTCTCTCGCTATCTTTACCTTTATCTTCACTGTTTTCTTCTTCTTCTTCTGCTTCTTCTTCTTGTTCGTATGTGTCTTGCTCTTTCTCAATCTCTGCTTCTTCTTCTCTTTCCTTGTCCTTTTTCTTTTCCTTTCTCTTTCTTTGTCCCTTTTTCTTTCTCTTTCTCTTTCTCATCTTTCCCTTTATCTTCCTTTTTCTCTTTCTTTTATTCTTTCCTGCAGGATCTGGACATCGCAGCTCTGCAGGGTGCAGGTTTTGCCCTGGCCTCAGTTTTTGAGATTTTCGGTGGTGGGAATGTGTGGTTTGGTCACTTGAGGCTTATGGGGGAGGGGCGTGAGATTGGAGTTTGCAAACATTCTTCGCATGCAGCCCACATGAGCAAGCCTTTCCGCGGTTGCCACTGTTTGTTTGAAGTGTTTGTTGCTTTCGTTGTTGACCCCATTTGCCGTTGCCACGCTTGGTAACATGGGGTGTGCCTTGAGCAGCGTACTGAAAGAAAAGAAACAGCACAGCCGGCAACACCACTGGAAACGTCCGCCTTCAGTCTCCTCCTTTGCTCAGATGTTACACTATTACAGTCTGAATTCACGTGTCAGCCTCCATGTTTCCTGCATTTAGGATTTGTTTTGCCATCCTGTAGAAACATAGCAAACTCCTGGCGAAATTCCGATCGCTGGGCGCAGAATTGTTTTAGCGGAAAGCCTTCACTGAGAACAGGGGTCTTAAAAATTGCACCAGTCCTTGGGGTTTGCAACAACTGCTGGCTTGGCACAGGTGCTTGGTGGCCAAATTTTAGAGAATACACCCTTCTGGAAACACGTTCAAGACATGGAGTCGTCCTGGCGACGCTTACTCGTTGGGCAAGGCCTTTGGGCATAACTGAACAGCGACCAACTTTGAAAGACCAAACGGTCGAATCCCCTCCCAAGCTCTTTGAAAGGCCGCCAAAGTAAAGTCTCCTTATGAAAGCAACCTTCATAAGTGATGCCACACACCAATCTCTTTGAAGAGCTCGTAATCGCATGAGCCCAAAAAAAACAGATTCGGTGAATACGTCAGCCTGTCGGATTCTCGCAGGACAATTCCTGTGATTTCTTGAAAAAGTCCCATTCTAGGTCCTCACTAAAATAGACTACCGAAAAAAATTCAGGTACAAACGTCTTCTAACCTGTCAAACTACTGGAGGACCTAGATCCCATTGTCGTTCCTCCATTTTCTTGGCGTTTTTCGCCTGGGTGACTCCAGGAGCTCCTTCAGAGTTGCCCCCAAGTCCTCCCGAAGTCGTCGCAGGACAAGGGCTTCGTCACCGTGCTGGTGGACTTGATGGAGTCGGATGACCCTCGCGAGCGGGAACCTTGCCTCAGTTTGATGGTTGCGACTGCCACGGAAGCCCCCAAAAAGAGGGGGTATACTCCAAAAGGAACTTCCTCAGGCTGTGGTTCTTGGGGTTTCAGGTGAATATTCAGGAGAGCATGGTTTGCAGGGCGCCTTGTAGTTTCTCTTGGCTTAAACATCGCCTTTCGGAGCCTATTTATCACGGGGGTATTTAAGGGAGGGTTGCCACATCGCCAGAGCTGTTTCTGCGCACTGCTTGAAGAAAGCCAAGCTTGGGGAAACAGCTCATGGCCCGAAAGGTCGCACCGCCCAGGAAACATGATTCTTTTGTAGTCGGAAAGTTGTATTTGCTCCGACGTTGGATGATTTACATATTATACAGGAGCATGCGTCCATTGCTTAGCCAGGAATGCGTGCGAACATCACTGGTCGGAGTAGAGCTGCACGCTCCGAGTGCGTTTTCCAATACAAAGAAGGCAACAGGTAGCAGATAGCTTGTTGTCGGAAGCGCTTCGCGCTGGCCTTCCAGTGCCGTGCTTTTTGGGCGAGTCAGCCGGCGCCAAGCTGCGTGAGCTGGTTTCCCAAATGTCTCGGGTGCATGTTCACGTGTTTCTACATGGCCCCAGATGGCCAGAATTGGCCGGGCTGGGGGGCTGAATTGCCGCGAGCTACAGCCATAGCCCAAGGCCGGGGCTTACTCAGGCTGTTTCTCGGCGTGCGCGGTTCTATGATAAGGGTGTTTTGCGCGAACAAAATATTGAGTTTCGGCTTACATGGACGCTGTCCAAGCGTGGAGTCGTCCAATATAGCTCCCTGTTCAGTTGCAACTCATAGCGGGGCATCAACCCAATTGGAACGGACGAGCCGAGAAGCCTCGTTGGCAAGAGGTCAGTTCCCAAGAAGGTAGAGACACGCTTTCAGGGCGGATCCAGAGTTTTGGTTGTAGTATGGCCCGACCATAAACAGTTACCGCGTTTTTGTAGCTGACTATGCCAAGCATTCCAATCAGCGTATTGTACGGCCAGCTCACCAGGGCATAAAACGAGCTCGCCATGACGTAGGTCTTGCTTTGGGGCTCAGTTCTAAATGGCCATGGTTCAAACCAATGGTACCACACCCATTTTAGTCTGTTTTAGTGGGGATTTGGATGTTCACTGGGGGTACGGGGTTTTGACCCGTGGACAAATCACTGTTTTGAATTTGCTCCAAGATTTGCAGATCTGTGAGGAAATGCTGAAGAACATCCTGCTGAAGATCTTCAGCAAGCTCAGCAACTTCCGCTCCACCGTGTAGCCCCGGCAGTTTGTCCCTTGCGTCTTGTGATTTGATTGCTTTGGTTGAAGGAGGTGTTACGTTCCCTTGGCTTCTAGGTCCCTCAGTAGTGCCCTTTTGCCCTTTTTTGGGGGAGGGTTCCCCCACTAAAATAGACAACAAAAGAAGAATAACAAATCGGGTTCTAACCCCTCTACTGGAGGACCTAGGCTTGATTCTAGACGGATGGAATCACTGGTTGTGACACTCTTCAGACGCTCCAGGCGGCGAGGCATCCAGAGCTTCTGCCAACGGGCGGTGACCCTGGAAGTCACGGAGGCTGTCCCGGGCGGTTGATGGAGGTGTCTCAAGCCACGAAGGGCTTTGGGGGGGGGGGCATGTGAATGTGAGTACGGCTTAATTGTAGGGGAACTGTGGAGGAAACTGGGCCTGCGCCGCCATTTCGGCGGGACTTCCCGGGTTGAAGACAAAGAATGAGGATATGTGTCAAATCTGGCGACTCAAGATGAGATGGTGGCTTTCCTCTGAGTGAACTCGCAAAAACACTAGTTCGAAGCGCATTTCCATTTGTGAGCAAGGAAATGCCTGTTGCCGCTAGCCTAGGAGCGGTTGGACGCTTGCCAAGGGATGGTGAAGCTTGTTCGCAGGGTTTGAACTGTTCTAATTGTACAGCCCCGTTTTGTTTAGTGTCTTTTCCAGAAAATGGCCAAACACCCGGCAATCTTGCAAAGAACAGGGTGTCAACCCCTAGAATGATCACATCCCACACAAGATCAATTCAACACACGGCTATTGGAACCGGATTCGGCCGAACGTTCCATGAAGAGAAGCAGAGGTCGATGGTTGAAGGGGTATTGGCAGCTGCACGGTTGCGTCTTCATCATCTGCCAAACCTGTTTGCGATCTTGAGAATCTGTTGGGATGGCGCGCTGCCATTGGGACCAGCACATCCGATTAAAGCGTAGCTTAGTTGCAAAGCCCCCGGCAAAGTTAGACAGTCACAGGCCATGGCCAACATGCTGTTTGGGTATGCAGCCAAACTGACACTTTTCCTGTTTGGTTTGCAGCGGAATTGCTTTCGCAGCACCTCAGCAAGAGTCCATAGCCTTGGCTAGCCCTTTCTTGGTTTCCAGACTTGGGGGAGCTGTAGCTCTAGGAGAGACTTCTGAAATGAACTGTTTCTGGAAACCCTCCCGAAGATAGATGCGTGCTGGAACACCCCATGTCAATTGTTTGTGATACTTGGCATCCACTGTTCCCATAGCAACATAGGTGCCAGATATCACACGTGCGTTTGCACATTCACAATCGATGCTGAGATGATGGCACAGATTTGTTCCTAATGTAGATGCGCATAGTTTCGCTCTCTCTCTCTCTCTCTCTCTCCCTGTGTGTGTGGGTCGCAAGGCTCTCACACAGTACCACGAGCCGACCGCGCCTAACCCAGGCGCCGCAGTGCGGTCTCTGCGAGTTGCTGGAGATCTTTGGGCAGCGCATCGTGGGGAGCTTCAACACACCGCTGAGGCAAGCTTACGAGAGTGGACGCGCGACCGTGGATTCCCTTGAAACCAGGAATCCGCCTAGTTTAAGCGAGCTCACCTTGGGGTAGAACGAGCTCGCCATGAGAAAGCTCTCTTACTTGGGGATCCCTTAACCCGCCTTTTGGCATTATAGTCAACAATTGCGGAAGAATCACGGCGATCAAAGTGTACGTCCCAGCGTTGTCGTGGATCGATAGACATTTGGTGAAGCTTGGGTTTGCCCCACCGAGCTTGTGGAAATTTCAAATGCAGTGAGCCAGCCAACACCTGGGATCTTGTGCTGAAGTGATGTTGCCCTCCTGTCCACGTGGAACATAACTTTGTCTTCTCTGTTATGTTACCCCACCAGAGGGTCCCTTTTAAAGGAACATTGCTTCCAGGGCCCCTCGGTCAGAGCAAGTTACAGGCTGAAATCCCGACTTGTGGTACTATCAGTTCGCCCGAAATCGCTGCTGAACCATTTCGTTTATTGTAGACCTCCCGCATTTGGGTTGCAGCCTGAACATCTCCAGGACGATCCGATGCAAACTTCCTTGCAGACATGAATGGTCAGTAGGCTTCTGAAGGAACCCTCCTGGTTGTCTCAAACCACTAGTGCAGTTTACCACAGCAGGATACCCTAGTTTGCATGGGGAACTTCCTCACTCTGATTGTCCCTTGTTGTACATCTGTTGTTCAGTAGCACCCTTCCCTGTTGAAAGGCTTGCGATTAAAGATGATCAGAGAAGCAAATAACCAAACAACCAAACAACCAAGCAACCAACTAACCAAAGACGAAATATCAGAATAACCAAAATACGCCAAAAGCATTCGTTGTGACAACTAAACGACCGAAATCTCGTCGCATCTCCGATCTTTGCTGGCTTCAGGAAAGAGCACCGAGACGTACTCTCTGAGGCCGGCAGCTTGTGATAGGCTCAAGCAACCCCCACGTTCGTGCCATTTTTCCCTTATGGAAAATGGAACCCTGGTAAGTGGAAAGGTAGACTGCAACCTGCGGTTGAATTGTGATCCACACCCTTGGCATCATTCTAGTCTTAAATGAAAAGTCCACACTCTTTTTCGAACCAACCCAAAAAGCATGAGCCGCAATTGCCAGTCCCAGTCAGCCGCTAGAATAAGTACTGTGGATTGTGGATGGACGAAATCCTGCACCACCTAAGAAACCCTTGAATGATGATTCCCCTGCAAATACCAACAAACAATCGTTTCAACCATGGTTCCAAAGTGGTGCGAACGGATTTGGTCCATCCACAGTATCACCAACAAACCATGGTTTGGACAAATCTCTTTTCTAAGGGGAGTCAAAAAAAGCAGCTTGGACTTACGCCTCGCAGCACTTCACTATGGCAGTAATGAAGGCGAATGACAGGGATCTTATCTCATAAATACATAGCGGGCAATATTGCTCTCAGTCTCTTCCCCAGAATAAGCTCCCCTTTTTGTTTGTTTGCTTTTTTGGGGTCCCCTTTGTTTTCCACCAACCAGGCATTTATGTTTTGCTGGGATCCCAATTTCCTGCCAAGGTCTATGGTTCATGTGGGCATGACATGGAGGACTTCACGATCTGCCCATTTGTTTGCACCACCGGGGTCAAGGCCGAAAATAAACATGAGCACATAATATCATTGTGCCATTGCTCACGGACTGGGTTTTTAACGATGGTTGCTCGCTCATGCGCGAGCTGCTTTTGTTCTCACCCTTGTCTTGCACCAGGGTGCAGAAGTTGTTTGAAGGACATGCCAATGACCGTTTGCATGTGCATGGCTCCTCCTGTATGGTTTTCAATCTGATGAACACGGCTAACATCTATGTTGTTAGTCTGTGTAATCATCTCTGTGAACCAACGATCAATGTTGGACTTTGTACCAGCTCCCTCCACAAAATAGTGGCCCATGTGTTTCTCTCGGAATTCTATATTTTTCCAGGCACCCTATTTCAGATAGTTACTGGAGGGATGTTTTTCCAGATCGCTATGTGTCGGTCGCAATTTGGTCAGGTTGGCAATTTGTGTGTTTCCTCTTGTCGCCAGTTTAATGACATTCCACAGTTCTTAGAGCGCCTTTTTCGAGATCAATGAACCTCGAAATGTGTTGTGTTTGTTTCCAAGACCCTGGGGCAAGCAAGTCCGGCAATCCGGCCATGTTGACCCCAAACAAGCAGCCCTGGCACCTGCTAGCATAGTGGGGCTGTGGAGTTCCCGCTTATGTGGGTCACGCCCTATCGTCCACAGGACCTAAGCTAGCATTCCTTAGGAGCTTGGGACAGTTACGAATCAAATGATCAGTGCACATGTGGTTGTTCGAAGTGGCAATTCAAGACAACACCCTGATGCCTTCACACAAGGACCATCATGTACCAAAATTGGCTCAAGATCACAGCACGAATACCGATGAGCAATTACACATTTTTTGTATCGTCCATTCCCAGGCGAGTCACGATGAAAACCCGGATAGATACTCCCAGCCGTATCTAGTAGCGCCCGCTTTTTTGTTGATTTTTCATCAGGTGCTTTTGCCCCTGTACAAGCTGGACTTCTTGTCCTTCTTCTACTCTCAGCTCAAGGCACCTCTCGACGGGTGGGGTGGTGCGCGAGCTGGCGAACTGGTGGGCGAGCAACCGGAAGCCAAAAAGAAGACTGCTCCCATGACATGTGGGTAGGGGTCAAAATAAAACCACCAGGGGACCGCAGGTTTTAGTCCATGTTTCCATTTACCAGGGTTCCATTTTGGGTACCTATGATTGACCCACAGCCATGTAGATAGAAGCGAACCCTCAACCGAAGCTCCGGATGAGTCTCCTCTTAGCGCACCGGTTCCTTGACTGTGCGAAACCAGGTGGTGGGTTTCATGTTGAGTCCCTTTTCCAGCTGAGCCACAATCAAAGCCCGGGTAGATGAAGGTTAGTAAGGGGCAGTCCCAGCCATAACTAGTTTCGACCGCCTTCCTAATTCTTTACATGGTTCTGGGTAGACCATTTTGATAACGGGTGTTGATTGTGACTCAGCTGTCCCTGAAAGGGCCCAACTCGCGTTGACCCGCAGCCAGTTATCCATAAGGCCTTTTGGGTAGGCCGTTCTGAGACTTCGAGAGTTAGGTTTCTTGCGGGACCTGCGGGCTAGTGTCATGGAAGTTGCAGCAGAAGGAATTAGTGGATCGAATTACTGTTGCAACTGCCCCGTCTCTGGGCATCTTAGCAGCCAAGCCAATATTCCGCTTGATGGCTGCAGGGAGGGCGAAGTTATATTGAGTCAATGATAAATTAATTTGCTTCATTCATATCAAGTGTGTCCAACTTTCTTTGTTTAAGTCCAAGTCTGGCCCCGTTGACAAGTGGAGCGTTTGGCGGGTGCGACGTGCGCTTCGCACTATGAATCAAGTCCATTCTGGCCCACTTGGTACAACAAATGGCTCAACTATATTTATGTTGGAAGCAGAATCTGAGATGGTCTTTGCATATGTACCCCTTGTACATAGCGCCGGGTTCCCTAGTTGCCAACCCACTGAACATCACGACAGCCCTTTTGGCGAGGCAAATGAACAGCAAACCCTGGCCAAGGAGTGTGTAAAACGGGCGGATGTAAAAGCGCCCCTAGCCAAAGTCAACATTCGGACGGTTTAGGGAGCTCATGTGACTTGGCCTTGAGCGGATGGCTCGTGGCGTCAAGCATCACTCATTGACTCCTCGCAGGAAGGTTACTCAGCGGCACGTGACAGAGGGAGCCAGGCGTTTGTTCATCAAAAGCTGGCGAAATGAATGTGCGATAGCTCGAGGCACCGAACAACGACAAGGAGGTAGCAACACCGATAGCGGTTGCAAGGTAGTAATACCTTGCCGCATTGCTCCTCCCCCATCCAACTGCGGCTTTGGATGAGACGAACTCAGCGGGAAGCTCATACCACGCCGCGACTCGTCCGTCGGCTGAGTGCCCAGCTTGGTCGACAGGTCTTACAGCATGTTGATCACTCGATTAGTTGATGATATTTGTTTGTCATGAGTCAACATGAAGGCCCAACACTTATGTTTTGTCCAGTTTGTGTTACCTTTTTTCCAGAAATCGTGGACTGGACAGGGGGCCAACCCTTTCACAATTGTCTTCCAAGCCCTCCTTTCCACGTCCATGATTCTTGGAAGGTAGTCATGCTAGATCCTGGTGCTTTTGGTCCACCCGGTACGGCTGGAGTGTTTGCCATGTGGAACTTCTCATGTATCGGGGCAAACTCTCCTGTGCAGGGTTGCCAATTTGTGGACCCGGCCGCCTTATGCCGCCGTTTGTCAATGGCCAATTTGTGGCCCCTGTCCTCTGCCGCTTCTCAAAGGGAAAACCCTTTAAGGGGCCTGTGATTCTTTCAAACCCTTTGGCAGGCGGCAGTGATTCTTTTAGCCATAGCCCCGGCCAGGAGGTGGTGCGGAGCTTCTGCAAGAAGGAGCCGGCTTTGACCAAGGCTGTGGCCCAGACCTCAGCTGGAGCAGCCCTTTCCAAAGCCACTGGGATGGCTCATGCATGGCTCTTTGGGGCGGCACTTTGTGGTTTCATGATGCCAAGCTGTGCCCCTTTGAATGTTCAAAAGGAAACCGGTTTTTGGACCAACCAGGTTATTTTTGAGGAGCACCTTTCTGGGTTTTAAAGGGAAACCAAAAAAGAGGCCGACTTCCCGGGGGGGAGGGTGTCCACGCCTCATTTGGAGAAGCCCGTGCTACCCCGGTGTTATATGAATTGCCCATACTATGATGATTACTATTAGTTGTCCAAAGAGGAGGTCGAAAAAAGGGATGGGAAATCATCATCGCTACTTTCTCCAGACCCAGCGTGTAACACCAAACGGAAACCCAAGGAGCGCCAGAGACAAGTGAATCATTTTCTCCCGAAAGCTGTGGGGCTGGGGAGAGAGGAGGGGGGGAGGGAGCCCTTATTAAGCCTTATTAAGCCTTATTCAGGGCTTATGTGGGCTCCCTCCCCCTGTCCTCCCTCCCAAAGGGGCCGCAGCCCCCATGAGTGGAAGCAGCGTCGAGGCCTCGGCGCTCTTGCGCTACTGGCCTCAGTGCGCCAGTTCAAAGCCGGAGCCTGAAGCGGAGGGTCAAATGGCTGTGGTGGTCAAAGCCGTTTTGGATCCGTTTTGGGGTAGGTGCACCACCAATTTTAGTGTGTTTTAGTGGGGATTGGGATGTTCACTGGGGGTACGGGATTTTGACCCATGGCCAATGGTTCACCGGATGTGCAGTCTCGAAGCTGTCAACTGGATCTGGACAACTTAGATCGACGCCACTCGAAGGTTGCGACGGCATTCATGATGAAGCTCCCGCGCTTCCTTTTGGGCGGATGGTTTGCTTGCCGTTCTGGGCCCATAGTCTGGAGCTTGCACTTTTTTCAGCAATCAGGTATGCAGTCCGATAGAAACGCGCCTTGTGCGCTTCTATCATCGTTAAAAAGAGGATAGGTTCGCTTTCCGGCTTGCCAAGTTGGATTGAGTTTCATTTTGTTGGCGGGTTTGGCGAGAATTCGCTGAAGCAATAAATTAGTGTAATCTTCTGGATGGTCCAGCAGTCCGCTGTCGAGCGCAATCCACGAGGTTGATATATTTTGGGTTGACAATGGGTTCGTGTTCAGGTCTTTTGGTTGTCGATAGCTGGCACTGGTTTCAGTAAGTATGATTCACCAGTGGAACCCCTCGTTCTCCCAAAAGTCATTAAATTTACCTAGTAATGCTTAATATGCCGTGTTGGATGGGTTACACATCACTCTGTTGATCCAATTTGGATTAGTTTTGGTTTTGGAAGGGTACGCAAGGAGTAATTGAGGAACGGGGCTCCAGGCCTTGTGGCTCCCTTTGTTCCCAGGCAGACCATCTTCTTGGGGGAGCTGGAGGACATGATCCACCAGATGCCCACCCAAGAGTTCAAATCCATCGCGGCCCGGACGCCCTAGGGCGATTGGCCCCTGGACTGGCACTCGGCTCCCGGAAGTCTATGGGCGAAAATCCAAAGAGCCAGGGCCCATGGAATTGAAATTTCGCCGGTTGCAAGGAACTGCGATTTTAGCTTCAGAATCGCAGCCTTTTGCGAGACTTAGATTCTTCTTCTTTTTAGCACGGGAAATGTCGGCTTTTCTCCATCACGATTCCAATAAACATATACTTTGTCAAGTTTCGCAAGTTGCAGTCCATGCTTGTGACAGCTGATGGGCTTACATTATTTGAGATCAATACCTCACATGACCCGGGACACTGGCTCGTTTTGCAGGTGCCCTTGCTATCTTAATGTAAGTTGAGCGAAGGGCCATGTGCGAAGTGAACAGTGGAACCCAATGCGGGTTCTGTTTGTCTAAAAGGAGGTTCCTTTAAAACAAACGGTTTCTGGGGTCGCATGTGCTTACTAAGAACGATACCCCTCATGGAATTCAGACATGAGTCCAGCCATTGAGACATGTTTGAGATGTGTGTATTCAAGTACCAGTCTCTTTAGGGAATTTCAAGGATATAGGGAATGCAAGACTCGGGATGCAGATAGTTTCCAGATTTTCAGATGTTACTTGGACGACGATAGGGCTCACCAATGTGTGGGAAGACTGAGCCTCATTTTGTAGAGAACACGCCTGCCTGAGGTGAAGGTCTCTCAACGCCTTGCGCAGTGCTGCACCTCACCGCACTCGGAGGCAGGTTGCGTTTGGTCCAGGGGTGGTAGTAAGCATCCTTATCTACTGTTATAATGGTTTCTATTTGTGCCAAAAGTGCACGTCGCTCGACTAGACTCTCAAGAGACCGAAGAACAAAGGCCATACAATGAGTTTGGAACATGGCGCGCGGTTTCACCCTCTCTTTGCAATCATCGTGGAAGCCTTCAGTGGCGACCACAGAACTTGGGTTTAGGAGGTCAAGTGTTCACGAGAGCCATTCAGAGGTCCAAACATCACCATTTGGGGCTGGTGGAACCCTGTGGAGAGCTTTGCAGTGAAGTTGATCATTAGACGCATGAAAGCTGACAGAAGGTGTTGCTCTCCGCTTTGAGGCATGCTGTTTGAATGTTGATTTGAACATGTACATGTTAGAAGGGCTGGCAATGAACAACTGGAACACTCTACAAGAGCTTGCCACAATTGCTTGCCACTTGCGTTTGTCTGGTTGAATTTATTCTTACCCAAAGCCAAGATGTACAAGCGGCGGGAGCAATTTTGTGCGGCACCAGTTTGTCTCAGGGATGTGTTTGAAGCACGGCGAGCATGAGGCAGCAGGGTTTGGCCCACGCCGCCTTTGCCTATACATGGGGTTGTAGACCTCCTAAAAGGGCCGGGTGTAGAATGTTCAATTGGTTTATACCCAGTATATGATAGGAAGAAACCCTGCAGAAACGGCAGAAACCCTGAAGAAACGGCAGAAACCCTGAAGAAACGGCAGAAACCCTGAAGAAACGCAGAAACCCTGCCACTGCAGAAACGGCACAAACCCTGAAGAAACGGCACAAACCCTGCAGAAACGGCAGAAACCCTGAAGAAATGGCAGAAACCTTGAAGAAACGGCAGACACCCTGAAGAATCGGCAGAAACCCTGATGAAACGGCAGAAACCCAGAAATTTGAAGAAACGGAATCCCTGAAGAAACGGCAGAAACCCTGAAGAAACGGCAGAAACCCTGAAGAAACGGCACAAACCCTGAAGAAACGGCACAAACCCTGTGAAGAGAATCGGCAGAAACTGAAGAAACGGAATCCCTGAAGAAACGGCAGAAACCCTGAAGAAACGGCAGAAACCCTGAAGAAACGCAGAAACCCTGCCACTGCAGAAACGGCAGAAACCCTGAAGAAAACGGCAGAAACCCTGAAGAATCGGCAGAAACCCTGAAGAAACCAGAAACCGAAGAAACGGCAGACACCCTGAAGAATTGAAGAAACGGCAGACACCCTGAAGAATCGGCAGACACCCTGATGAAACGGCAGAAACCCAGAAATTTGAAGAAACGGAATCCCTGAAGAAACGGCAGAAACCCTGAAGAAACGGCAGAAACCCTGAAGAAACGGCAGAAGAAACGGCACTGAAAACGGCAGAAACCCTGAAGAAATGGCAGAAACCTTGAAGAAACGGCAGACACCCTGAAGAATCGGCAGAAACCCTGATGAAACGGCAGAAACCCAGAAATTTGAAGAAACGGAATCCCTGAAGAAACGGCAGAAACCCTGAAGAAACGGCACAAACCCTGAAGAAACGGCAGAAACCTTGAAGAAACGGCAGAAACCCTGAAGAATCGGCAGAAACCCTCAGAGGATCACCCAACCAAACAGAGGCGGGCAAGTAGGACAGCCAGAGTCGAATGCATCGATCTGAGCACAAACGGGTCCAGCTAAGGTGTGGGGGCGGGTGATGTTCGCCTGTTGCAAGTAGCCACGGATTATAATATTATATGCCTTATGTCCATTTTCAGCCCGTTTAAATTATTAAGCATGTCGGTTGAGTCTCCTGGTGGGGTAGGTGGGGGGGGAAATTGGGAGACAAAGATGCTTCGTTTGTTTTCCTGGGCTACTGGGTGTCAACTGGAGCAACTGATTATGTGTATACATACCAGGCACGGGCCCCTCCGAATGAGTGCTTTCATCTCAACCCGGGTGAAGTCCGGGTTCATGTTGCCCAAAGCCTCAAATTTTGGCAGACGTGATCAGACTTCGGAAGTATAACGCATGGGCAGTCCGCATGACTACTTTGAGACTTTAGAGGAGACGGGGTTAATTGAGGGATTGCAAAGAATTGGACTCAGAGTTGGCTGCCATTTGAAAGGTTGCTGAGAAGGCGCTGGGCATCTGGAGCTTGGAGCCAAGAATGGCGACGGGCACATCGGTTTTGTCACCCTTTCAACCCGGTTTGGCAAGTGTCCTGTGGACGGAGCGATGTTTGATCTGGCGAACCCAATCGTGTTTGTACATCTGAATCATAGACTGCATAGACTTGTTATTTAGGAAGGTTTCGTTGTTCTTGCAACAAGCAGGTGGCAGCCCCATCAATGAAAGTGCATGTTGCCACTTGTCTGCTTGTACGAAGCATGAATAGATAAATCTCAGGGACCCTTTGCTCTCCCCCGAAAGATAGGGGCAAACTTACAGCCAGGATTGTGCTGGTCCTTTAAACAAGAAAAAAACAAAAAGAAAGAACAAACAAACAACGGGATGTCAGGACCCTATTGAGTGACCCCTGACCGTGGAACGCACAAACAAGTTGGCAAGTGACTAGCTGGGCCCGCCCACAAGCTCCGGTGTTCCCTGCGAGTGCAGCAGGGGTTTCGAAACCCGATCGCCTGAACACGCAAAAGGCTCGCTTGCATGGGCCACGGGGGCGGTCCAACCACAAACCCCATGTCTAATACCTTGAAGTTGGCAAACGTAGTCATCTCATCATGTCTCCCCACAGGTTTCAAGCGGCATCAACGAGCCAAGGAACATTGAGCAGATTCAGCCTTCCTGCTTGTGCTCCGCACGCTGACAACACAATCACATCCGTAATCACTATGTATGGTTGAGTTCGACTTCAGGGAATCTTGAATCGGACCCGGTTTCGACTGATAATTTTTGCATCGAGCACCTTCAAGCAACGATGGTTTGCAGAAGTATTCGGGCATCTCTATGTGCCGGGACATTCAGATACTGCGGACGCCTCCAACATGTTGCTCGTGGGCCCAACATAGTGTCCAAAACTGCAACGCGTTTCTGGATTCCCCTTCAGGTCGAGTTGATTGTTTGGTCGAGTTATCTTTTAAGACTTTTGTCTCAGAATAGCGGGAGCTTCATAAATGTCATGGATGTCCTAGATGTTCCTTTGGTTTCCATTTGGTTTCCCGTTGGTGTCCCTTCCCAGAAACTCCCCGCTCCGGTCCAGTTCCGGTCCAAGAGCAATGCCAAAGATGCTTGATTCGAATCTGCTTCGCAAAGACGATCAAAGTGAAAGGGTCGAACATTGGTTTGGTGTTCCTTGGCTTTTGCAGCAACAGACGGGGGAGGTAGGAAAGTGGCTTAATGGAAGCCATGGTGTAGGTATTTGAGTTTGGGATGCTCTATCTCACGGTTTGGAACTATTATAAAGTTTGAAGATTCATCGTTTGGCAAACAGTGTTTGCCAAGGGATCAAATCTTACAATACTTCCAAAGCGTGAGACAAGGGATCCCAAAGTAGCAGCCAACTCTCTACCCAACTCTCTACCCTTGTGAGAGGGTCGAATCTCAGCCAACCTGTTGGAAGTTGCCTGGGATCTTCTCTTGTTTCACTTTTCCAGGCCACAACTCGCACTTCCCTTGTGACAGGGTTGAACGTGACCGGCGAGGGAGTTGTTCCTTGTGGTTCTTCTGGAGCAACCCTGAAATCAGTTCATGTGCTCCCAGGACACCAGCAGACAGTAAGACAGACAGTGCAACACAGCCGCGACCTTAGATAGGAAAAAGTGAGAGAGAGAGAGAGAGAGAGCTTGGTTTGGATCTTTGCTGGCAAAGCGTTTTCCTTGTTTCTTTTGGAAACTGGGTTGTTCAAGTCAATCCTTTCGAACCTTTCATCCTTTTGCACCTCTTGAACAATGACAGGTGCTCACCACATGCGACAAGATGGCACTTTGTTGGGGGGGTCAAAGACCAAGCCAATCGGGGCACAGCTTGCAGCTGACGATATTCAGCTCGGCCTGGAGCTGCGGATAGCGGAGGTGTTCTCCAATGACATGAGCCCAGTGCTCTCAGTGGCACCCTGTGTCCCTTGTGGTTTGGTGCGCAAAAAAGGGTCTGCAGAGTTCCCTTCTGGTCGCTGAACTGGGTTTGTAAGCAAGTTGCAGCTCACCATGGACTATGCTGATTGCAGTAGTCTAAACAATGAAGGCTGAATGGTCTAGAATCATAATATGTGATTGCTTAACAAGGGTGCTTGGCTACATAGCAATGAAAGAACCACGCAATGTATTCTGAAAGTCGCTACGCACATATTATACACATATAGATAATAATAATATTGAAAATAATAAGGAGGGGTATGTATTTTAGGATTGTTTTTATCCGTTTGTTTTTGGGATTTTTTTTTCCGCTTTTGGCTTCTTGGCTTTTGGCTTCTTGGTTCTTGGCTTCTTGGCTTTTCGGCTTCTTGGCTTCTTGGCTTTTTGGCTTCTCAGCTTCTGCCTTTCGCATCCTCTGCATTCCCAGTTCCTCTTTGGCAGGTGGCATTTTGGATTTTGCGGCTTTTTGCTGGTTTATGCGGCTTTTGGCGGTTTTAGCTTTTTGCATCCTTGCACCCTTTCATTGGTTTTTGGATGTGGCTTCCCGCATCATCAGCATCACCAGTTCCTCCCTATTTGAAACATCACTTCTTCAAACATCATAGGAGGGGAAGGCCCCCCCCACAACCCACCCGCTACTGTTTAGATTGCTTGCAGAGTAATTGCACCCCTATTTGAATCAAAACTTCTTCAAACATCATGGGGGGGCTGCCGCCTCCCCCCCGCTACTTTTTGGATTTATCTTGCAGAGATTGAATTGCACCCCTAATTCAATCATCACTTTTCGAGCGTCCATTCTGTGTAATCCATGTATGTCTGTATGTATGCACTTGATCGACCATCATAGGGGAAGCCACCCCCGCCAACCCTCCCGCTGCTTGTTAAATTCTATCGCACCCTTTCTTGAATCATTGCACCCCTACTTGAATCATCACTTCTTCCGACATCATGGGGGGCTGCCGCCCCCCTGTTAGTGGGAGAATTCCATACTCTAAGTCCTCCAGTAGAGAGGTTAGAATAAGTTGGTACCCGATTTTTTTCTGTAGTCTATTTTAGTAGGGAGGTCCAGCGTTTGGAACCGAGAAACGCCTTGAGGTCGTGAGGAGATGCCTATGGTCCTCAGCAACCTGTACACCAACGTGACACAGGCGCGACGGGACGAAGCCCCGGGAACGACACCCCGGGTGATGCCTCTTGTCGTGTTTGTCCCGACCCACATTGCCTGTTTAGAGATAACAGCTAGTTTGTAGGTCAACACAAATCAAGTTTGCAGTGGAATAACAGGGCCCCCAGGTAGGTTGGGTCAAAGCTACTTAAGTCAAGTCAAGGGTTGCAAACAGAAAGGACTTTGCAGGAGACATCTCTTGCTTATCCCAGATCTTTACAGAGGGATATGTTTGGCGACCCTTCGCAATTGGCATAAACTGATGCCTCCTGGGCCACGCTTTGTGATCCCCGCACCCTTGAAAATGGAATTGGCAGCAGAGGATCAGCCATGGCCCCCAAAGCCGCCCCCCAGAGAAGCCTTGTAACTTAGAGGTTCGTGTTCTGTCGATCTGTATGGCCAACCATCTCTCGTCCCGCATGGCTCGCGCCAGGCGTGGGGTCAGAATGCCCGGCCCACAGATCCGAGATGTGCAAGTGCCTGTTTGTCAGGCATTTGCATCTCCGCAAAGCTTCGATCCGAAACAACGGACGCTCCTTCGGAGCCTTGAAAAGTGGAAGACCTTTGGCTTCTTCTCCATGGCTGACAATGGTTGTTGCTCAGCACTGCTAAGATTTTAAGCCAGCCTGGCCCTTTCACACAGGCGGGTGTTGGAAGCGCAGCAAGACGGGTGGAAATTGGGGGGGTGGTCGAGTGGAAAAACTCCCTCTTGAGGTCGGGTGTTGTCGACGTGTCAAGCTTGGGAGGCAAGTCTTTTCGTGTTTCGGTCAGCAGCTCGCCAAAGTGCTATACTCACTGCACTGGCGTTATGTGTTTAGTAAAGACCAATGTGTGTTTCAGAAAGCAAAACTCCGAAACCCAATAATTTTGATTACTCGTCAAACGGTTTGACTCATGTTCAACAGTCCCTCCACCCGCTCCCTTCCTGCCCTCCTCCACCTGAAATCTTCAATCCTTTGGATCGTCGCCCTGAACTTAAAGTCGGTTGATTGACCCCTTGTTCAGGACCACCTGAAGCAGGGATTCAAAGAATGGATCGCACTTTTGACCACTTTAGGCCAATGATCGTTGACATGCTAGACAAGAACGCCCATTTGTGAATCTCCCAAGCGAGAACCTCTAGCGAATCAAGAAACCTCAGGAATGAACCACGATGGGATTGCTCCCGATGTCACGCCACTCCATGCATCAGGGTTGGTTAGCTTCGAAGAGAATCCAGAAGGAATTTGTTTGAACAAGGGGTTGGCCCCACCCACCATTGACCCTGCGGCCTTTTCGTTTCCCTCAATCTGCCTGGGCTGCTCCAAGCTGGACCTGAACAGAATGTCCAAACCACAAGAGCTGAAGTTCTGTTTGGGCTCCTCTTGTTTTCTTTCAGCTCGCATCTTCCCTTACTAGAATGTTCGGACTGAGGTCATGTCCAAGACGCTGGACGTGCTGAAGAATTTCATGGAGGCACGGCTTCTCCATGTGCCAGTTTTTGAGAGGCTCCAAGTGGCACCATGGTTATGGAGCACTTGGCTTTAGGACAAGTGTCTGTAGTAAGGGAGGGGTTGAGTCTTTTTGGTAAGGGGCAGAAGTCCATTCAAGGGAAACACGATTCGAGATCACCGTCACTTCACGGCAGGCAGACAAAGAGCTCTTCGACAGCTGCTCCTCGAAGCATCGGAAACAGGCGGCGCTGGGTTTTGGGCCCGTCATTGAAGCGGCTTTCCGAAATTGGGATGTCATTGTTGACGGCATCCCTTTTCGGGTGGTTGTACAGGAAAACTCAAAGGAAGCCAACCGCCAAAATAGACTAGATCCCAATTATTCAGAATCATTTGTTCAAAGCAAATCGACCTTCTAATCTTCGGGCTTCCAATTTGGCTCACTTTTGGTCAAGGCCCCAAAAGGTTTTAAATGTTTATTACCCAAGCGAACAGGGAAGAAGGTGCACGTGGTTGAGTCATGGTTCACCAACACAGTCCTTTGCAGCGAACCATGATATCTTTGGCTTGTTGAATCAGGCATACACATGTATGTCTACTTCGTATGCAAGCGTTTCCTACATATCCAGCCCGCGAACCCCCCGTGGAATGGCGAGGCTGGTTGGAGGTAGTTGAGGGTTCAAGGTTTTTTTTATGGTTGGCTTCGGATGGTTTAGGGTCGGTTTGCGGTCGGCTTGGGGTTGAGTTGGGCAATCTTGAAGGCTTCAATTGGGTGTTTTGGGAACACCCTGCCCGCCCTGTGGAGAGGTTTTAGCATTTGGTTTGGTCTTAGTTGAGTGGCCTGCTCATCAACGAAAGTTTAAATAAAGTTTAGAAGGAAGTTCCGTGGTACGGAAACTAATTCAAAGCTAGCTCTTTGGCAGAAGACAAGAGAAGAACAAGCGCGCAGGACTGCCCAAAAAGTAGCTTTCTGCAGGTTGCAGTCCCTTTGGATGCTTGGTCGGAGTGCTCTCGGAGCCAGCTCGGAGCTTGTTCGGAGCGAGCTCGGAGCGACGCAGCTGTCACGGGTGGAGTAAAAGAACATGAGGTGTGAGGTCGACCGCCCGGAAGTCCGCAGAAGGTCACGAGAGCAAAGAGAAAACCTTTACGCGGGATGGAACTTTTGATGGTTGACCCGCCCAAAGTGCGCAGATGGCTGAGGGTCGCTTCGGGGGGATTGCAGGGAGTGTGCGGAGGACGGGACTACGTGGCAGTGATTGTTTTGAGAGGCCTGAAACAGAGCCGCCGCAAACATTCGTTACAGTGACGTCGTTACGGACCTTTGCAACAAGCCCCGCTGTCTCGTTGCACATGCTTTCGCTGAAGGGTTAACTTACAAAGAGGTTGGCCTTCAGAAGAGAAACTAATGTCGGAACAGCGGCCGGAAGAAACAACAAAATTGTCTGCGCTATACGTCGTTACAGACCCAACCCCTGCCCCGGCGCCAGTGACCCCCATTTTGCCGTCGTCATTGACGATAGATACCTCGCTTCTTTGCCCAACCCCAGCCCTGGCAAGCGACCCCCCTTTTTGCCGTCGCTGGTTGAACAGCTGGAAATTTCAATCGGAGCTGCGACGGTGTGCTTTGGGTGCTGCACTTGCACTGAACAGTTTCGCGTTTTCAGCTGGAGATGCGGCTCTTTGTTGTTCCGCGCTACATTGTGCTACTGATAAGAGGCAAGCAATGTTTTCCCGTCACACGATGGCCCAACAAGGACCCCGTTGCAGACCTCGGTAGCAAGATGCGCGTCGTGCGCTGCATACCCTCAAAATAGCCCACAGCCAAACGGTTTTTGCATAGTCATGCGCGTATACAAGTCTAATATTCAAATCAGAGATGTCACATTTGTTTGCTGCCTTGGCTTTGTGTTTCATAGCCCACACGTCCTTGAGAGTCTCCAGGCGGAAGGCTGTGCTTAATTCCTTGGGGCTCAGGCGGATGAGGCTGAGAAGAAGGATTCCCAGAGGAGGGACCGCCCGGAGACCCAGAGGGTCCCATCCGCTGATTTACAGCCACGGCAGCGATATAGGCAAGGACTACCAATAGAGTCATTAGTCGCCACCATTAGGCTGCAGTGGCTCCCTTGCTATGGTTCTCAATCAGTAAAAGATCTGTACTTTGGGCCCAAGCCTTTTTTTGCAGCTGCGTAGAGGCTGTTGCATTTCAGTAAACCCCTGCAGGTAGTTGTTTCAGGGCAATTAGTGGACACCATCTTAGAACCTTGCACGATGTTGACCCAGGATCAGTAGACCCCTTGGTCGACGAATAGGAGTGTCCCATTGTGGAGAACACCTTTAATCCGTCAGGTTAATGAGTCCGGGGTCAGCATTTATTGTGGGTGCATTCAGGTCAGCTTGGTTGAACATAGGTGTGCACTGGTTTCAGTATTTTCTATTCATATACTAGTGCCATCGATGTTGTCAAAAGCATGCCTAGGGATCCCCAATATAATATAGCTGTTTGAAAGGTTTTAAGCATCACCTCCTTGGGTAAAAATGGATGGAGTGTGTTGAGAAATATTTCAGGGGGACATATAGGTGTGTCGTTGTTTGAGGGAGCATTTGCTTTGGCCGTTCGTAGGGAAACCACATCGAGCGAACCTACCCTTACAAGGAAGCGGGCGCACCGAGCCCTGATTTGCTGCTGGCAGATGACTTGGATCGGTTGTCTCATTTCCGAGGTTTGTTCTATTCAAGGACGTGTGTGTGCGCGTTTGAGGTGCAAGAATTGAATACATACGAGTACATGCACATATTAGTACATATGGAAAGTAAAATAGGAAACAGGGGTTGCTACGAGCTGTCACGTCTGGAAACTTGCTGCCCAAACACGGCAAGCTGCTTCAAGTTGGATCATATTGACTGCCATCTCACTTCCGATGTGTCTGACCCTTACATTTTTTTCATTTCAGTCAGCAACAACAAGGAAATGAGTTGTGACTTTGTTCGGCCCATGCACTCAGGACGTGAGTTGTAGGGGTTGGCAACGTCCTGCTTGGGAGTTGACATGGAGACCCTTTCGGGTTGCGGATGCCATTCCATTTGCTTCTGCTGCTTGCGGTGGCTGTGACCACGGCAGCCGTGGTGGTTGAGGTGGCGGGTGGCACCTCCCTTTGTTGGGCGGGTATCAAACTTGTCAACCCAAAGAGGGTTTGCCGTCAACAAGGCAACTGTAGCGAGGCGTGTCTTACGACAGGGCTTTTTTCACACCAGAGCGTACCGCAAGATGCTCAGGGCACCTATTGCAAAGTCATGAAAACAAGTTCGTTGCCGCCCAAGGTGCGTTGTTTGCTTGTTTCTTGCTGCCGCTTTGTCGGTGATTCTTCGCTTCCTCTCATCGGTGGTTTATATACTGTTTATTGTCTATGTTTCATTGCTTGCTTGCTGGCTGTCTAACTTGCTTGCTTGCTTGCTCGTTTATTTGTGTGATTGTGTTTGTTTGTTTTGTGTTGCTTTCTGTTATGGTGTTTTGCTGTCTTTGTTTTGTTGTTTGTTTCGCTGTGTATTGTATTGTGTTGTCTTGTTTTGCTGTGTTTGTTTGTTCTTGTTTTGCTGTGTATTGTATTGTGTTGTCTTGTTTTGCTGTGTTTGTTTGTTCTTGTTTTGTTTTATGGTTTGATTGGTTTGATTTGTGTTTGGATGCGGTGTACTGTTTGTTTATAGTTTAGATTGTCTGCATTCACTGCGCGGCGCAGTTGCCTCAGGCTGGGCCATGCTGCAAGCCTCCGCCTGAGAGGGCCTGTGACAGTTGGGTGATTTGAGGCCAACAAAGTAAACGTATGGGTCTGGCTCAAAATGTAAGAGCCAGGGTTACGCAGGTTTTAGTCTTTTGGTTCCATTTACCAAGGTGCCATTTTGGGTACCTATTTTTGAGCCCACAGCCATATATGTATGGTCGGGGGCGTGAATATACATATATATATATATATTTATATTATAATATTTATATATTTGTATACGCATGTTTTTGAGTCATTTTTGTCAAGGGGGGAGGGGGTCAGAAGGAAAACCATTCGGGGGGTCCTCTATGTTGACACACACACACAGCCACACAGGTAAGTTGCTGAAGCCGTCGCTTGAACATGAACCAGACAGAGACCCTGGTTTTGACACTCTTGCTTGGTTGCCCAATAAAGATGACCTGCCGGACAAGGAATTCCGAGCATAACATACGGGACTCAGCACGAAAATCGATGAGATTCAGAATCGGAACTGGCTAAGAGTACCCGGAAGCTCTTTCAATTTGACTGAGCCCCGCTGTTGCTTCCCCACCTCTGCTGTTGACATATCCACAGGTGAATGCAATGAGTGGCACTTGCCGCATCCGAGTCGAAGCACTTCCTAACTTACTGCGCCAACGGCGCTTCATACGGAGGCGTATTTAAGCCTCAGGTTTCGAAAGGTCCTGGTTGGTTTCAATCCTTGCATCCTTTCGTTCAACTTGCCAGGTGTCTCCTTTCAGACGCATGTTTGAATGTCGAGCCCGGATTCATCAACCTAGATGCCTGCATATGCGGAATACTTCCCCAGCCCTTCTGAAAATTGGGACAGCCCCTGTCCGCCAAGCAGGTTGATTCAGCCGAAAAGCTTAGAGCTGACCCAATCCGATTGCCCTCTGCTTGCAACACGCAAGCTGCAGGCCAGTCTGCTGGGTGATCGGTCCTGGGTTCCCATTGCA